TTTTTTGTGAACAACTTTTCTACTAGAGGTCTTGCTTAGATTTCTAAGTGTAGCATTTTTTTTGAAATAAAGTACGTGTAGTGAGGTACTTACAGGAAGTCATTTTTCGATTTTCTCAAGTTTTCTCATTAAATTTGAAAAACCCCCCAAAAAACTGGAAATATAAGAAATGTAGGTATTAGTTAAAATATATTACGGTCTTCTTTTTAATGTGCACAACTTTTCTACCAACAATTTTGCGTCAATTTATAATGATAGCAATGTTTCTAAAAAGAAATTTTCTAGGGAGGTAATTTAAAAATGTAATTTTTCGATTTTCACAGGAGTTTTCCCAGATAATGTAAAACACCGGGATAAAACATGGTAAAATGTAGGAAAACTGGGAAAATCGGTACAACATTAATTATTAATTAACAAATATTATTGAAGAAAATATATAAATCATATTTAATTATTTTACTATAAAATTACATATTTATTGTTGACGAAGCATTACTATCAACTGAACTCCGCTCAGAATATTTTTTCGTAAGCAATGGTTTATCGTTGCTTACAGGTATACGGTATAGGTATACTCCGATTTTCAAGTGTAGTACTTTTTCTGAAAGAAAATTTTATCTGAGTATTGATTTAAACGGTTTATTTTTTTGATATTCTAAGCGCTTTTCATAATAATTGGGAAAATGTATGTAGGTACTTGTATAAAATGAACTTCGCTCCGAATTGTTTGTCGTTAGCAACGGTTTATAGTTGAGTACAGATATTAACTAAATTTTCCTCTATATCCTACCTTTTTAACTTCTCACCTATAACAGTGGCCTACCAATCCAATCGCGTGAAGTATGTCCGTCTTTGATTAGAGTTATTTAGTTTGGTCAAAAGTTATCAAAAAAAAATTTGTTATAATTTTATTTTTAGCTTTTTAACTAGTTATTAACTGGCTTTGTACGTAACACAATTTTGATATGTTTCCCATTAGTAAGATGAGGAAGATCTTGAGTTGAGGTAAACAGATATATGATAACGTAGGTATATAGGAATGGTGTGCGATTAGTTTCATAAAAAATGGAAATGTATTCGGTATATATAATATAATATTATAAAATACATATTTTTAAAAATAATACATAATAGTATAAAAAATATTTATTACGGGTCTTATGTGTATATTTTTAATTTCTATTTTTCTATGAATTAAATACGAAAATAAAATAATTTAACTATAATATTATCTAAATATACTAACTTAAATATTTAATGATGAATGTACTGTCTATGTATAATTTTTTATTATTATTATTTTTTTTTTATTTTTTTGAAAAAAAAATTACCTAGATATCTAATATTTTTATTAGTTGACAATAATTTATATAATAATATTATATTGTAGGCATTGTAGAGAGCGCCTATACATGATTATATTGAATAATAGTATAATATAATATTAGGTCGATACGTAAAATAAAAAAAAGATATTATATAAATTACAATTGTATTTTATTTGTATACATTATAAAAAAAAAAAAATCAAGTTAATACTCATCAAGAAGAGGAAAAACTTAATTCGAATTGAATTTCCTTAAGTTTTCCTAATTATTATCACATATACGTAATAATAATAATATTATAATATTACCTATATACTTCATTATTATAATTATCGTATAATATTAATTAATGAAATCAAGTTTCTCATCTTCATGACGAGTACGCACTTTCCACGCACGTCTATATTATTTTCGTATAGTGCGTGCATCGTCGATATCATGCACATGCACTTATATACAGTATTATAGGACGTTCAGGTATTACGTACGCATAGGTACGTATATACGTGTACGCATGTACGCCGCAAGACGGCGACGGTGATTGTTCGTATAGGAAAAATACATTATTTTTTAATTTTTATTGAAAATCGCGGTTGTAACAAATGTTAATAATGCGCGTGAGTGTGGGGAAACGTGCGAAAAACGACGGGCACGAAAGCATCATACTGTATATACCTACTTGCCTATACTTAGCTTAAGCTACGTAACTATAATAATTATGTTATAAGCCTAATTTTTTTGTTGTTTTTTTTTTTTTTTGTCTTTTGTGTTTATATGTTTTTTTTTAATAATACAATACCTATATATATATTATATACAAAATGCGGTGAAAATGTTGAATGCAAAGTATTCGCGCGCGTTTTATAGATTATCGAAAAATATTTTCGCGATTTTCGTGCATAATAAAGGCGCGACGATTGTTAAAACGAAAAACACGACGGGCGTATAATCGCTATAATAATTTTAAATATTGTCCGTGCCGTATCGAAAATATGAACGGTACGGTATGAGAAAGAAAAAAAAAACCGATCGGGCAATACGCGTTACGCGTTTGTGACGGTGCGGGGTGGCATGACTGTCGGAGAGTAAATCCGCGCTAATATTATGTAGTGCGTGCCTGACTGTTATATTGTTTTTATCGCCTTTTTTTTGTTTTCTCCTAATTCGCACGTGAACATTTTCAACATTATAACCATGGCTTGTATGTGTGTATATTGTGCATATACCTTATGTATTGGGCTTGGATAGGGGGGTGGGGATGGGGTTTGAATACAACTGCAGTAAAATTAATGTAATAGTATGTGGGCAACGTGATATTTTCGCGCGTCGTCCCGCGGTCGTTGTTTCTCTACGCCATCATTTTTCTCGGAGTCATCCATTTCTTCATGTAATAACAGAAAACCGTGCTCACGTATATCAATATGAGCAGCATGCAAGTGATGCCCAGCGCGAGTACGGACGTTTTCGTCGGACACGGTTCCACGATAGTGATCGTCTTGTCTGAGAAAACGAAAAACAAAAAAAAAAAAAAAAATCAAAAATCAAAGATTTCTAAACTGATTTGTATCGCGCGCGCGATGACGTCCGAAACAAAGGATAGTAAAAATATTCAGAGGATTGGCGATGACGTGATGTTTATTTTAGTCGATTTAGACAAAAATGTATAGGATTTCTGGTCGAGGCTATTTATTTTGAAATAACGGATTATGATTATTTAGGTTTTTTATTCGGACGTGTTGTAAACAGCCGAAATTTAATAATTATTCCACTAGAAATTGTCAAAAAATTTGATTACATTTTTGAACATTTTCCCTAAAATACGTATCAGACAGTAAATTAATAAAAATTAAAAACATTTTTTTTTTTTTTCTACAAAATTGAAGAATTTGGAAAACCACCGCGCTTTAATTCCCTTAATAAACCTGCCCGTAAATTTTTACAAACACCTTGTTAACATTTAAAATGCAAACAAATTTTTCCGTATATTTTATGTTCGAAGTGTAGCGAGGGATTGTATTGGCGGTTGCAGCGATCCGATTTCGATTGTTTTGTTTATTGTTGGAAAGCGGAAAACTTTTTTCTGGGACGACTCACCATTTGATGTCTTATGATCAACAAAAAACACGTGGAAAAAAAATTGTGAAAATCGGTCGTATTCGAATACTCGCCATGACATCTAGGAGTGTAATTTTCGAAATATAGGTCCAACGCGTTCGGCAAGGTGTCTTTTTCTTACTAACAAAAAATACACGATTGAAATCGGTTCACTCTATACGGTTGGGGAGGCACGTGAGTTATTTTCCGTAAAGCGTGTTTTTTGATCAAAAAACAGGTGATCTTTATAATAAAGACCCCTTAATAGGCCCCTTATTAAGTATCAGTAGGTACGCATAATATTGTGCGCCGCGCTATTCCGCGGACATGTAAAAAAAAAAAAAATCGACCAGATACATTTGTTGCATTCTGGAAATTACGAGACGCCAAAACATAAATATTATTTAAAACGGTAAAATCGAACGTAGAATTGAACTCTCCGCGAGACTATTATTATCTGTTTATATTATTCGGAAAACGTTTGTGCCTTTTATATTATTATTCTATAAACGGTACGACAAAAAGAATACGGACGTAAGTGCGACGCGACAGGTGGCTGGCTGGTTGGCTGGCACATTACTTACGTATTTCTCTATAATATTTACGTATTGATGTGTTATTATTATTATTATGCGGTGAGAAAACCGTCGCTTGTAAAAAAAAAATATATGCAAAACTAGAATCACAAATCAAAATGATGATGTATTGTTGTTCGTGTATAATAATATACACCTAATAGTGTCATTATTTTCGCGTTATTGCAATTGCGGGCGACGGCGACGTCAGTAATAGCAATCCTAATAGGTTAGGACAAAATATACGCATACCCATAAAGAAATTTAACGGGAAACGGACTCGTATCTTAATATGTCTGAATAGAAAATTATGAATTTTAAAGACGTAATCAGGAGGAAAAGATTACAACGGACGTGTGTGCCATGTTTGTGTATAATAGGAGTTAGAATGAATCGTGAAAAGCCAGGGAAATTTAATGAAAACAAAAAAAGGGATGTAGAATAAGTCGCGAGGATCGGATGTGACATAGAACGATCCTTATAGAGACCCACAATTAGGGAAGAAGATTTTCGATACAACCTTCGGATGCTCATCGAATCGAGGTTCGGAATTCAATTAATGCATTAAAATGCAATAAAACTTATGCATTTAAAATTTTTATTTTTTTATTTTTTAGCATCTCCAAATTTGAATAAAAGAAAACGTTTTCAAATCAGCCGAATTACTCATAATAAAGATAATAATACATATGTTTCGAATTCGGTCATCATGCTACAATATTATTAAGAAAATAAACCCGAACAATTGCTATCAAATATCCTATAAAATGGGCAAATTTGTGTCTACGGATTTTAAAACGAATTTGACCCGGATCGGATTATAAATATGAATAATTTTATAATAAATATTGTGCACATGCTTATTATAAATACACAGATGCGTAGAGTTTATTCTTTATAGCTGATAGTAAAAAAAAAAAAACCTAAATAAATAATAATCGACACAAAGGTCTAGGGGAATTAAGAATATCCGTTATCAGTACCTTTGTTGAAGTCCGTGAACTGTGGCTCGTTACTTTTCAGGAACTGTGATTGTTTTTCGTCGCCGAAGTCCAACACTAATATCTCTTGACTGATTTGCGTCATGTCCTCGTTATTTTCAGACGTGTCGTTGTTACTGCTGCTGGGTGCATTCGGCACCGACCTCCTGCGCCGTCCCCAAGACTCGATGGAATCTCTTCCCCATTCACACACGGCCTGCAGTGATGTGTTTAAAATAGAAATCATTATAGCGGCATAACCGGCGAGTAGGCTGTGGCGTAGCCAGGATTTTGAATCAGGAGAGGGGGACTAAATACGGTTTTGCTCGAATCAATGGGCATATATAATAGGTAAGTTAAGTGGTGTTTGGGGAATTCAAACCCCCTCCAGAAAAAACAACGTAGAAAAGTGTTTAAATCAATGCAACATTCAAAACAAAAATTAATGAAAGAAATGAGAATATAATATATATATATATATATATATATAACGTCTTGTAACTATACTTATTACACCCTTCTGGCAGCTGCATCGAAGAATTTCGAGCAAAGGCATTAATCAAATTTATGTAATTTTCATTAATGTCTTAATTTGTATTTATATTAGCCATGAAATATTATAGTGCTTCTCTTGTTAAAAACACGTTTTCTTACGGTTCAGCGTGGACAACATTTGTTTACGAATGAAATGGTATACATACATAAACACATCCTCTCCCATACCCCTAGGTATACGAGTAATATCATTACCGGTTCGCACGGGCCAAGACAGTATTTAACGTTGCACTGGAATATCACGCCGTACGACTCAGTGAACCGGAACGCTTCGTAAATGGATTGGAGCGCGTTGCCCTCGGGCGAAAACCCTGGGAAGATTGTCGGGTCAACCGGACACCCTTCGTCGTCGATGATCTGGAACGTGCTCTTCGAGTCCTTGGCCATGGCCACGCAACTTCTCGCGAATATGCCGTACGGGGCTGAATATAGATAACACACAAACGAAAAAAAAATGTAACCGCGGAAAATATGATGTGAGTATATTATAATTTATTATGTTTCCGACGACGCCCGTGGAATCAAAAATAATAAAACTATTTTCGCAATTAAAAAACAGGCTACGAATACACTGTCAGTAAAGTACTGCGATTAAGTATTTGGTTTCACTCACTGTCTTCGGGAATCTCGATCCTGAATGTCAACTTGTCGCCAATTCGCACTGTTTCCACTTCTCTAGCTCTGGAATCCAGGATACGGATCCTCGGTGGCGGTGCTTCTGGAGCCGAAGTAATGCTTATCATCTCCGGATCCCTGTTGAAATTACAAAAAATGTCAATATTAACAAAACACGGACATATTTCGCACGATGGATGGACCACTGTTGCAGGTGAAAAATTGGGAAGGTAGGATATAGAGGGGAATTTAATGTATACTTGTATGTAACGATTAAAATTAATAACGAAAAACGATTCTGAGTGGAATAGTGGAATAGTAGAATTTTAATAGGCCGTAATGTAATACATTTCGTAAATTTTCCCGTTTTCCCTAAGTTTTTTACCAGTCGTTTCCAATTACTATGAAAACCGCTTGGAAAATCAAAAAATGACGTTCTGAGTACCATCCAGATAAAATTTTAAAATCCGATATTTCTCGTGAAAACATAGCAGCATAAAACGGTTGGTAAGAGGGTTAAAAGTAAAAAACTAAGTGCCAAAATAAAAAATGGAGAAGATATATATTTTTGGGGAAAATTTGACAAAAATTAAAACAGATACCTAACTTGTAAGGCCAATCACAGTAATAATTATTATATTATTATTATTATCGGTCGAACTCTCACCTGATGGGCATCATCCCAAACGTAATGTTCTTCGATGACATGTCGTACGTGCACTTGACTTTGTATATTTTGTCCGCTTTCGTCATGACCACGCTGTGGTGTTGGAGAACGACCGTATTGGAAAACACGCCGGTCTACGCATCAAATAACATTAAAAAGAAAAACGTAATTTGTATATTATTATTAGTGTAGGTATATGAAAAAAAAACCACGCTGTTTTAATGAGTAGAGAGTTCGATAAACCGCGATTCATTCCATCTCCCCACTACTCCCCCTCAATAAGTTTTGTCCTCCCTTTTTCCCGTTGTACACGTATATAAGTACTGCAGTAGTGTAGATTTTGAAAATCCACAACTTCCTCTATACAGACAATACGCGGTAACGGATTAATCACTCGTCCGTCGTCGTCATTAAAACTGTTTTATTACGGTACACTGCCATTGGATTTGTCGAATTACAAAAACATCGTCGTCACTGTACTTACCACTGACTGAGTATTGCAGTCTTGTCCGGCCATTGTCAGATCCAATCGGAATTGGTCGCTGTTCAGCACGTCTATGTTGCACGTCTCCGATCTGCCGAGCGCGTATATCCTACCGTTGAATGGTTTGTTTGTGTGTACTTGCACGGCTATTTTGGTGTCCTTACAATGAACGGACACTGGAAATAAAAAAAAGAAGCGAAACGTTTTATTGAAAATACGATTTTTTTTTTTTAACGATTTTTCGTTAACATCGTAATATGTAATTATGTAATTACACAAGGCTAATGCTGCCGATGGATGTGCCTCCGTTTCAGGAGGAAAGCCGGTAAGAAGGATATTCGAGTATGTATAGAGTGATTTAATTTATATCTGTACGCAACGATAACCATCGTTAATGAACAGCGATCCTGAGCCGAGTATTATTAGTCGTATTTTTCGCTTGTTAAGCACTTAACCCAGAAATCAACAAAAATTCTACAACAAATTGCCAGTTTTTCCCATTTATGAAGTATATTACAAGGAAAATCGAAAATTTACTTCCTCAATGTGCCAACTATAACTAATAAATGCTACTAGAGTACCTATAAAGTTTTTGACTGAAACAAGATTTCCGGCAGAAAAGTGGTTTATAGACACAGTAAAAAAACACACATCATAATAAAAGATAGAACCAATATATTCGGATATTCCTAAAATGTAAAGAATCTAAAAATTAATATTGTATAAGAGTAAATTAATGATCGTGAGAACATCAAATAGGTATAGTTTATACATAGTATAATAATTGGATGTACGGAGATTAATCGCATACAAATTCTACGTCGCGTCTGACGGAAATGGAATTCCGTGGAGTTATGTACCGTGCAGTAAATATTATAAAATTTGTGTTGAAACGTAATACTTATTATTATATATTATTATAAAGTGGAGGGTGATGGATCGAAAGGGAAACAAATTAACTAGCAGAACTGCAATAATAATAATAATAATAATAATAATCTCACGATTGAAATAATTAAACGTAATAAATCAAATTGCAATAATTTGGCCGACGACGTACGAAAAATAACTCGGAAAGGATACCTACATTGAATCATGACCATAAATTAATTTCGAAAGTATAATATCGTCTTCGATCGATCAATCGACGGTATTATTATCGAAATGGTTTGAAATCGTGATTTTTATCGCTATATATATTTACGATGTACGTATGATTTAATAGTATCGTGCGTGTCGATCACTCTAATCAACATTATTGAAGAGAGGGGCTTAAATCCTCGCTTAAAATACTGCTACTACACTACGAATGTCCGTAGGATGACCGAAAATGCTGTAGGTCCACCAAAAAATTGAAAAATAAGTGAAATAAATAAAATAAAATACCTGTAAGCAGCAAAATTAGAGACGAATTTTCTCCCATCTATTTTTTATTATAGAACTTTGCGCAACAATAAATAACCGAATACTATAATAATAATAATAATAATAATAATAATAATAATAATACTTTTGTAATTTCATAAATGTTATAATACATAGTTATTAGTATTATATTAATTGTACATTGTATTTTATTGTTTACTTTTTTTTTTTGTGTACATTATTGTTAACGAACGATTGTTATTAAATTTTATGTAATTGGGCCTGGCCTGTTTAAAAGTAAAATAAATAAATACATATTTTACAAAACTATTGGTACAAGTATTATATTATAATAGAAAAATTATGAAATTTGGTCACAAAAATGGTTAGTGTAGGAGTTGAAAGTTGAAACCCCAAAAAGCAGTATCTTTGTTACTGACACCATGCATACAGAAAATTTCACCCTGTAAGAGTGTACAAAGTTAAAAAAATACCCTTCTCCCGCAACAACATGGTTCAATTCATATCGAAATTCAATCCGTTTAAAAAACTTCAACCAGCTTATAAAATAACTCTAATCTTTGAGTTTGAGCTCATTTGGTCTAGAGCAAGCCGCTAAAAACGTCCAAAAGTAGCGGGAAAAAAAAAATACATTTTAATAAAACTGACACAATACCTACAATGTAATTAGTATTCATTTTCGCGGAAAATTCGACAAACCGTAGTAAAGTTCAGATTTTCTGAGTCAATACATCGTTTATCTAAAATTCTGAACGATTATTGGCCACCAAAACGACTATTAGCAATATATTTGGTTAGTTAAACGCGAATCGCCGTAAAATGGTCGACAAATTCGATGATACTCTAGGTGAATGTAAGACGTATAAAATAACCACGTTGAGCAAACATGCCGTATATATTGATGATGAAGATACAGCGTTTTTAATTATTATTTTATGATAAAAATAATTATTTGCTGCGTTTTTACATAATATAGGCATAGCTTTTGGTTTTCTGTAGCATAGTATTTGACATCACGTAAAATACATATCATTGTAAAAACCACGGTCTTAGAGGATAAGTTTGAGACACTGGCTGCATCCTTTGTATTAATTTTGGAGGGAAGCTTTAGTCAATTTTTCCAGAGGGCGTCTCTAAAATTATCAAAAATTTAAGTTTTTTTTTGTTAAACTCAATGATTTTTAACAACATAATTACGTTCGTAAATAAATATTTATATAATTAATTTTTCAAAGTAACCCCCAAAACGCACAAAGTCATGCGCTATTATTGAAATAGCGGATAAAATAGATACTAAAACCGAGCGATCGCGTTTGATAGTCCAGTGTCCTGATCATATCTTCTAAGACCATGCTTATAATCCACAAATCTTCAATCAAATAATTTTAGAAAATCTTTAGAAAATATAAATTTTACCTACGATTTGTAATGACCGATAAAAAAATCAGTGGCGAAGTTATTTAGTCATAGACTCATAGACTCCGATTTCCGGTTAATTCTATCCGGTGAAGTTTATACTTATTCGTAGGTACCTATAATAATAGAATTGTATACTATAATATATTATACTGACCGTCGTAACACGTTCCGGTTTTGTCACAGTTCAAATCGGTTCTGGTCAAGTTCAGTGACGGGTCGTCGGTGCTCTCGAACACGACTGGCAGCTGTTCGTGGGGCGGCGTCGTGGATTCTGCAGACAGATACGTGACGCGGGGGATCAGGTTAGGCGACACGCGCGTTAAGCGGGTCATCGGCGTGACCGCGGATTACTATCTACCGTAGGTATTTCCGAAAAAAGGTCAGGGACAGACTTGTAAAGTATTCGAGTAAAAGCGTATTTAAAAAAAAAAACATATAAAATATTCGAATACTATTTCAGTATTCGATTTAGCATAGTATGTAAATATTTCTGCGAAAATTACCTGTGATATGCATTAAATATATATTATATTATATTAAATGTGTACTGGAAACTGAATATTTATTTTAAATACTTTTTTTTAAATTTTCTAGAACGCGTCGCGTTACACCACAATAAAAGTTAAATATATTCAATATTCTAACCGGTATCATACAAAAACAACAACAAAAAAAGAAATGAAATATATTGAACATTTATGACCTTTTGGGTAATAATATGTAGGTAAGAAAAAAAAATGAAAAGTATTTAATATTTATAAACACTTTTAAAACGCGTATCTGTATTCGTACTCAAATGTTGTTTCAATGAAATATTTAAAATTACGCATTCTAATTTGGTAAATTTTAAAACGCCATCTATATTTGTATTCAAAATACTTTCAAAAATAATCATATTTTACAAGTCTCGATAGGGGGGTGGTGAAGCGGGAGATTACTCACTCTCGCAATAGTTTTCGTAGTAATTTCCGATTTTCTGTCCGTCGTCGATCAGTGGCCGTTCGGCGTTCAGATACGTGCTGGGTCCGTCCGGCAGTGTCTTGTGGTCCAGATGGAACAGCTCGCAATTGTACGCAGTGCCCACGGGCGGTCCCTTGTAGATGAACGAACGGCAAAGAAACTCGTTCTCAATTTCGCAGGCCAGCCGACACGCCGACTCGCTGGTCACCTGCAACACGGTTCGTGATTAGGTGAGCGTAAGGGGTTAGGTTCGTTTTCCAATCGTTTTTTCCGAACGCGCGGCAAACGTTATAAAGACGGACACCCGTCCTATTAAAATTCACCCGTAGGATAATTATTACAATTTACACACCAGACGTGGCACTACGATCGTCACTGCGGTGGTCACTTTTCAGTGTCCTCCACGCTTTTATATTCAATTTTATTCAGTCATTTATGTGTATGTAATAAGTAGGTAGCAATTATGTGAACTTCACAAGATACTTATCACTCGTGTAGCTGTGTTTATCGCTTTATAAATAAACGTAGAGTAATAGAGGCTGGGGAGGGTGAGTTGTTCCCCATTGTATAACTTTTTTCAAAAAAGGGCATGAAAATCCCGGGTCAACTAACACACACATTTTATGAAAACCGTTTTATAACCATATAATATGACATTATTTCAACAAAATATATTCTGTATTTTACAATATACCAACCATGAAGTGTGTTCAAAAACTCAATATTTAGAATGCCCGACAAACTTCGTAATTCATACTATTCGGCCACTTTTGCGGGTGGAAAGTTATGAAGACATAGCTAAGGTGTTGGATAATTTAGTTTATGTACTAAAAGCAACGATTAATAATTGTAATAATAACAAAAAAAAAAAATTATTGCGAGCGGAGCTCTGTGAACTGGTAAAATCGTTTTTTCCCCTTATAGCCAAAGTAACTCATAAATCAACGAAAATAAAACCGACGTATCGCCATTAATTATTATCAGTTTTTTAGTTTTTTAGAAAAAATTCGTAAAAATAGAAAATTTGTTCAAATAAAGTACCATTGCAAACAGATGGAAATTTCATAACTTTCAAGATACTGTATGAAAAAATTGGAAGCATTTTACTTATCAAAGAATGTTATCTAAAAAATAAAAAATAATTTTTCGGAAAAAGTATTTGAAATATCGGTATCTTTTAAGATTGTATATGATAATTGATATGACAATTCGGAGCATTTTGAATAACTAAAAAAGTGTTTTCCGAAGAAAATCAAATTTTAGACAAAAATTTGAAGTTATAATAACTTCTTTGCTACACACTTAGAATCTAAAACCTCTAATTTTTTATTATTTTTTATTGTTATTATAAATTAATATTATTTAACTTTTAGCCTACTTTGCCTTTACCAATTTTCTTCCCTTTTTTTTGACAATTTAAAAGTAGAATTTTGAATAAAATTCTTTTAAAAACCGAAATCGAAAAATTGATTTTTGTACCATAAGTTCAAAAATCTGTTTCTATGTGAGCCACGTTTTAGGAGTTTAATTTCGGAAATCTGAATTCAAGATGCACTTGAAACTATTCATCCGCTTCTGTACGTATAAATGTTCACCTCTGTGAGATCGATTCGGCTGTGGATTGCGTACAAACTATTTTGTATATCTGTACATTTCTGGATATTTTGTATTAATGTTCAAAAGCGTACGCGTTGTCACCCTTTTAGCTTACGATATTAAAAACATAATATCGGATATTTGAGTTCATAAAACCGCTGCGGGTATTGATACCCGTCAACATAATATTATTATTATTATTTTTTTGTCCGATTATACCTATATAAATCGTAGGTAACTTGTTCGAACCGTATAATATATGATAATGTTTGATATCTAGCACCGGGTAGGTACTGCGAAAAACGTCTGGCGGCGTACAAAGCATAATAATAATAATAACGTATTCGATTGACCTTTATTTCGTTTTTTATCGCGTTCGGCATAATACACACGAGTAATAGGTACGATGTAGTTCGCCGACCGCACGTGCATAATATTATTACAAAACAAGCATGCGTATAAATATAGAGCCGACGTGTAATAATAATTGTGGTACTACCTATATCTGAAAGTCCACTTATACACACGAGTCCTTTCCCCCGCCCGCTCCCGGAACTCGCCATCAGTAACCACTATAACCATAATATTATGTACTATACCATATAGCGGTTATTACTTGTAATTCCTTATCGTTGTAGTAGTGCAACGAGGCGTATTGCGCCACTTTGTCGTCGGCCACTCCGATCCTGGGCACTTGGAACACGCGATTTCCTTTGCAAGCTTGATTGCCTGTGGAAAACAATAACGCGTTTTATAGTATTATAATGATAATGTTATCATCGTCGCGATCATTTTTCTTGTAGGTATACCTATATTAGTCGGATCCTATACTATAATATAGAACTGGTGTATATTATCGTTTACCTTTAATACAGAGATTTTCAAAATAATCGACGCCCTGGGCTTCGACAAACTGCACGTACTGGCCCGTCGTTCTCCGGTCCGAGTCGCTTAAATGACATTGAAGCGTCACGTAATTGTATTCGACGGAACGGCACGTGAAACGATGCTAAAAGCGCAAAAATCGATCGTTAAGTTTGGAAAAATGTAATCATTTCAAAAACTGGATTTATTTAAATGCTGTATTACTATTATAACTATTACTCACTTCGTTCAGACAGGCGGCCAGACACGCTTCTTTCGTCGACGTATAGATCAAAGCGTTGTCCAATCCCCGGATCATTTTGTTCGGTACCCTTTCGAACGACCAAGGTCTCAAGCACACATTGTCTATAAAAACAAAACGAGTATACGGTTTTAAAACACGAATAAAAACAAATTGTATACTATCGTTCGCTCTAAAAATGCATATCTCTTATAGGCACGTAAAAAGAATTGAATATACGAAACGAATGAAAATATTTAATACTTTTTAGCCGTTATCTACTAGCTGTTCACTAACCTTGTGCGAACACTACGAAGACCATATTTAGCGGTTGTTTTTTTTTACATTTTCATTATTATAACGTTCCGGTACGCTAAATCCGATCACAAATTATAAAAACTAACGGAAAACACGATATTACATACGATATATACGATAGCATACTCCTAGAATGGTATCTTTTCGGCCACAGCCGGTTTTAACATAAAATAACAGATCCTATAGATATTATTACACTATATAAGACTATATTCTGTGATTATTTCGCATAAATACCGACTGATTAGTCGTCGTTTATCATTACCAACGTTAAATTATTCTTCTACCGTATAATGGTATCTGCATTATACGAGTATGTAAGTTATAAGTAGGTACGCGTATTATAAGACCTATGGGTATGTATGTATCATTAATTGATGACCGTAAAGGCTAAATAGGTACAATATACTTTGAATGGGATTTGTATGATTTTTTTGTATTATATTGACGACAGAGTGGTCGCGGAGACCTAAGGAAATCATTTTAAATCATACGATCACGATGATACGGTGAAAACATTGTTGCAATGAGATGATATTTAATTCCCCGTTTGTCGTTTGCTAACTTGGACGATTGTTTTCTAACACTTACCTGATCGTATTTGCATTTTCACCATATAGTACAAGTTGACGGACCGCTGTGGGGCTGCCGCTGGATTGTTAGCGGTCGTCTCGTTCTGTAATTGGCACACGGTTTCTTGTATTGGCGTCAACGGATTCAAAACGAAACTGAAATAATAAAACATTCTCTTATAAAATAATGGTGAAAATGATTATATAAGTATAGACACCATTGATTTAAAAAAAAACAAATTGTCAAGCATACGCGAAATGAAATCCGATGATTATGATAGAGTGGTTAAAAATATTTGAATGTCTTTTAAAAAGGAAATTTGTTCGTTTTATTTAATATTTAGATTCGTAAACGTGTTTTTTTGTTTTATATTATATACCTAAACGAAGCAGCTTGGCACTCTGGTTCTTCACGACACCATCCCTGGCATTCGTATAGCGTCAAGTTTTTGACCGTATAATATGTTGTTCCTTTGTAGTCTAATTCGGTGAGTTTTTCAAAAGCCGTTCGACCTAGAAAAAAAAAGAAAAACCCACATTATTATTATATTATTGATAATACAAAATTATTAAATTGTCTTTTTCGTTTATTTATCTATACTACTCCGTCATTGTCTATGTTGTAAAAAAAGAACATATAAATTGATGATATATTTTAATAAAAATGGAAAAAAAATTGAATTATGTATGCATAATTAGCATGTATGATAATAAGATAAAATATAATATTGTCGATCAAATTAAAATAATAATTTAACCGCGCACAGATGACGTTATTTTCTCTTGCATAGAGGTATACTTGAATCGGAGAAAGTAAAACATTATATTATATTATTATATTTATGAATTTCTGTCCAAAAAATTATTTTTAGACCGAATACGGTCTGTGGACGATAAAATGGCGTTTAATTATTTCTGTACTGTCGCTCGAATAATGAAAAGAAGAGAAGATGTCCCATAATAACACATCAAGATAGCAAAGATCAAATTGGCGTACACGCGATGAAAAATGTTATGCATCTTGAGCAGCCAAACGACGACAACGAAGACGCCCCGACGAGAAAATTATTCATTTCCTGTATACGTCTACCGAGAACTGGGTTGGCCGTCGGCCGTAATACTTTCGGTGCTTTTGACCCGAAATTCGACGAGACGAAACGAATCTAACGATAGAAATATTTTAATATACAAACGGAATTTTATATTTTATCAATTATTGTAGGTAACTTCTTCGCATTGTAGACAAAAAAAAAACATTATCCAAACTATTTTCGTAATAACCCCAAATCCTTGTTCGTCGTGATACTCGATTGCATAATATCTACTGCCAGAAAGAGTGATATTTAAAAATTAAAACTATCGAGTGATAAGCGATAATATAGGTTGGTACGAAAAATACCAAATCGTTGTAAAAGCATTCTATCGAAATGATAAAACATTAAATCAGTTTACTTCTTCTTCAAAGATGTTCATCGTCCTTCCTTTTCGTGACTCGATCTCTTTAAAATCCTTGTAACTATTGTCCTTATCCATGTTTAACATAATTTGTTTTATGGCTACTCCATTCTTGTTCTGCCTTTGCAAATACGGTCTTCTAAATCCCTTTCCTCTTTTCATCACACGATCCTAATGCAGTAATGACTGATACTTTGTCCTCCGACTTAAGTAAATACTATAATACCAAAATGTTCGTTTTTCCTTTATTCTGCTCAGTATTTCCTGTAGATTTTCTAATAATATACTCTTTCTGTTCATTGAATATTAACAATGTTGATTATCTTATTACGTTGTATACGCCAACTAAACGAGCGAAAATCGCTGCGACAATATTATAATATTGAACTGATTTTACCGTCTTTCCTGCGTTTTACTGGGTTTTCTCAGGTTTTTCTAGTTTTTTTGGAAAAATCGAAAAATGACCTCCTTAAAGTACCTTTCCAGTCCGATTTCCTTTCTGAAAAAGTGCTATCATTTTAAATCGGAGTGAATTTGCTGGTAGGAAAAAAAAAGGTCATACAATTTTTTCACTGATACCTACATTTTGTACATCAGTTTGCACAATAAATCACAATTGCACAATAGGGGTATTTTGCGATTAAATAGTCTGAGCGAGCGATGGCTTGGGTCTCTAGAGTCTAGGTACACTAAAAATGCATTTGTATTTTCCTAAAATAATAGAAGGCATGTATAACCATTAGATCATGACAAACATGTTATAAGAAAAACAATATAGAGTTATTTAACATAACATCCGTATAATATCAGAACTTAAAAAAATTATAATTTCGAAACTTAGTCAATCCACTTAATTCTGACCTTATTGTTCTTAAATCGGCAATATACATTTGTTCAAAGTAAAAAATTGAAAAATTAGATTTGTTTCACATAGTTTTTACTCAAACAATTTTTGTCAAAATTTATTATTCAAATTCTTTTATAAAAAAAATACTACATTAAGCTCAATTTTTGTTTACCACAAAGTAAGACTTTTTACTCTCGTTAAATTTTCACGTATTGCTGTAAAGTCTAACAATTTTACCACACAATACCTACCGAATAAAAATTACGTTTAAAACTCGACAAATTAAAATGTCTATAAATAGTCCAAAAATAGTTTATATTTTTTGAAAATTTTACCTCGTCTAGAAAAGGCAAATATAAGTTTTCTATCTAAATTTTAAATCTCCTCGAACATTTCAAACTGAATTACAACAAATAATTAAATTGAAAAATAATAAAAGCATTATTTTCGTGAATTTCCCGTTTTTCTTACGTTTTGTCTTGGTTTTTCCCAAATATTTTAAAATCAAAATCAAAAAATGACCTCCTTAATGTACCATTTGGACAAAATTTCCTTTTAGAAATTGTGTCGCTCGTATATATCTGAGCAAGATTTCTGGTAAAATTTTCGTATACAGGATAAACAAATAAAAATAAAAAAATAATACACATCTTAGTAAAATCAATACATTCTTCGCTACACACAGAATCTAAAAGGTTAATTATTTAATTGGTTTTATTCGCTGTTCAAATTGCCCGTAACATAACCTATACTTGTATTCATATATATATATATATATATTATACCATGTACCGTATATTGTTCTTATATTATTATCGTCAAATCGCAAATGTCGTACTCGGGTATAGTTACTGTGACGACTGTCCATGACGAGTTAGCGTTTTTATTTGTCACACGGTAAGTAAATACCTATACTGGCTATAAGATCGTATATTGTAATAATTGGACACGGATAAAATGTTTAAGTCATTGTAAACGCGACGTTTAAGTGTACGGAAAAATAAAGAAAAACAGTTGACGCGGTCGCGTCATTGAAAAATAAAAAACATACCTAACACAAACACCGAAAATTAGATTTGCTTTCCGCAAGTGTGATCTCATCGACAACGTGTGCACCCTCAGTAGATTCGGGTGAACAAATCGGGGTTTTTTTTTTTTTACGATGAAAATTATCGGTTAGGTACACTTTTCGCGGTGCGCACGATTATTATACGAACGCACACTTTTGCGGGTGCGACCGAGCTTGTAATGTCTGCAGTATTTGTTTTAATTAGTTGTAATAATAATAATAATAATTTTTTTTAAAAAAAATACGCTTTCGGGTTCATCAAACTTCTATATATACACCGATAGATATGGTAACTGATTTGTTTTAATTGCAAATGATGTAAACATAGCGGTATATTAAATATATACAATTTTAAAATTTTTAAATTATACACATCACGTACAAGCATAGAATATTGTGTTATTTAATCATTTTTTTTTCCTTTTGCGCATCGACTTTTTTTTTGTTAAGGGCTCTATAGTCTTATATCTATATATTGTTTATAGATCGAAATTTGAGAAGGTATATGATATAATAGTGTGATTTAGTTTTAAAGATACTAAAAACAACGATAAACATTTTCAATTTAAAAACGACTACGGATGGAAGTCGGCAAACTGATTATAGTTTTAATCGCTTTAAGTCGACAAAAATAAAACCGATGTATCGACATTCTAATTGCCGGTGTTTTTTTTAATACTTCAAGAAAACCGTTGACGATTTAAAAAATTTGATCAAATAAAGTACTATCGCCGGGTTAAACATTTGCATTTGTTAACGATGCTGTGAACATTTAAACACTAGATTCTATTTACCGAAAGTGTTTTCTGAAAAAAAAGTTACGTCTTAATAAACCTATAATATAGCTTCTTTATTACATTTAGAATTAAAAAAACAATATTATTCATATACTGTGTTACTCCACGTATAAAATGTATTGCTTAATAGTTTTAGATTCTGAGCGAAGCGAGGAATATATTGATTTTACTATGATATGTTTTATGTAGTTTTTTTCATATTTATATAAACAACTTTCCTACCAGCAATCTTGCTCCGTCTTAATAGGAACTTTTGCATACTAATATAATTCGATTGTTCTTATAGATTTTTTGATTTTATTCAAGAATATAATATAGTATACAATATTGCGATAACTTAAAAATATATATATTTTTTAGCAGATCTAACACGTACATAGTATACATTCATGCATTTCAGTCCGATAGCGGTACATTTATACTTATAACATTATTGTGTAAAATTAGACAATATTACATATTGTCTACTGACAAAAGCACTAAAAAAATAACAACAGTAATAAAAAAAATCGAGTTGTCGTCATTAAATTCCTAAACGAACACGCATTCGGTAAAAAAAAAAAAATTTAACAAAATATATATATATACCATGTATATAAATAATAATAATGTATTTCAAATAAAAATAATAAGCGTTTCCCGAATCATCTAAATTATATTAATGTTTTATTTTTTATTTTTTTACGGACCAGTAATATACGGATCTGAAACTTGACCATCGGGGAAATAGACGAATAGGTACACACAAAAGAAAATTTGCTGTTATTAATCTTATCTCAAGAGCAGAGACCGAAACTGTTGTATACAACAAAATATAAATGTAATGTTATCGTAGGCAATACGATAAAACTAAAGCAACCATAGGTAATACTGCAATAGACAATAGTATAGAAAACAACTAGATAGCCAAAATAATCGTATGATTATTTTATTGATTGAAGAGCTTCTCGATAGGTAGTTACCGCAAATTGTATTGACGAACCCATGAAACATTTGTTTGCGTTATGGATTATGATTATAAGGTAATAAAATTGGAAGAATTTTACGATTGATTTCAATAAATTTGCATACTATCAGTATTATCACATATTTTGTTTAACACATAATTATTGGCGCATAAACAACGATTTCGTGGATTAATCAATGGGTTGAACTACTTGGTATTTTATGTACCGCTACTATTGGTTTCCGATCTTTAGATTTACTCATAGAGTTGTCCGTATATTATAAAATAATATATCTAGTTGGTTGATATATGTGGGCTGCGACACCGAATGGACTAAATAATATAATAATAATATTATTTAGTACCTATAATATTTTCATATAATAATAAAAATGGTATTATTATTCATTCCATGTATTATTATTGTTGTAGTATTTAGTCTTCATATGTGTTTGCAGCTAAGTACATCGCGTGTTACAAAGGATTTGTACACAACTGCTGCGGGTTATTTCGTGATGGTTTCAAAAATATAATATTAACCTAGTTTAGTTTAGTTTCTTGCGGTCGACGGTTTCGGCGGTGTTGTTATTGACAGTTTTTAATGGGATTATTATTATACTACCGTTTTAATAGTTATATTTTAAGTTAGCATTGTGCGATTCGTATACAATACGATACAAAAAAAAAAAAATAGGGGAGGGGAATATAGTTTTATTAAAATGTCCCGAGTCTTAAAATATTTAAGTGTCAGTCATTAATAGCTGCGAATAGTAATTAGCACCTACGCAATCGTGACGTAAACAGTAAAAAAACGTTATAAAAAACATCGTATTGTATCAATCTAACGATTTTTAATTCGAAATTATTTTTACTATTGTTATAGCCGTTTTTGAAAATAGAAAATTCTTGTTTAAATCAAATCTCACACGAATTATGTGTATAAAAAAAATAGCTATTTTATACGGATTCGAGTTTGTGTAAAACAATGAAAAATGGTTTATTTCATATAATTGATTTATATTGACTGCAAAAAATTCGATCGACACGTTTATAGGTAGGAAATGTGTTGAGAATTCTTTTCTGAAACAAACATAATATGAGGTAGGTACTGGTAGTTAATTCAAACGCAGACAACTCAAATCTCAATGTTCCAAGAAGGAACAATTTTTGTTTTGTTTTAGTTTGGTTGAATAGTAAAAATTTGATGAATCGAAATAGCCAGATAGATAAATCTGTAGAACCAATATAATTAAGTAGGGTTATACAGGCGAAGGCAAGAGAACGATCCTTATTAAAAGTTAGCTAGATAATTATTCGTTAGGTATTACCAATAGTGCTAGTTTAGAAGGATTTATTTAAGATCTATATATGGTAGTGGTGGTATTCTTTGGTTGCGAAATTAGACAATTAGCTCAGTTAAAAATATGAAATTGAAGCCTAATAGATATGGTATTTCAGAAAAATACTAAAAAAAAATATTTAAGTAAATATATTATACTGTCTTGGACGTATTTGTATTTAAATTTCAAATACTTCCATGTAAATATTTTTCTTGAAAAATATAATTGAAAACTCTGTGTTGTTATTTAATATTTGAAGTAATAAAATAATAAATTATAGTTTACTCTCCGTGATTTGGATCTTGTGATGTCGTCTTCTTTATAAATCGAGGAGACAAAGTCAGACAAACGTAAATTGACAGTGTGTAGTTACGAATCAAACAGAAATTAAACTACCACAGGAGACTTACAACAGACATTTTCATATTAACACTTTAAAAACACATGCTCCTCCAAGTGCAATACAAAATTTTGGGCATGATACATTTATCATTCTTATTTCATAACATTTGTTTAATTCATTCAAAGTATTAAATTATTTTAGAATCAATAAAGAATATTTTATTTATTTGAAAAATTATTTATTACAAGACTTTAAAAATCGCATAGATTAAAAGTATTAAACAAACGAAGAGGTAAAAATAGCAACTATGTGGAAATGTATTACTCAATCCAGAAGAGATAAAACGACAGAACTTATAAGCGCCGCGCGCCGTGCTCTTTCCGCCCGTGCGTTTTCCGCTCAACACCTTTCTCGTGCTATTTCCACTCGTTATCGACATTTTTTCCTGCTGCGAATGGAAATATTATATGGTATTATCCGCTCAAAATTTTAAATTATATATAAATTGTGTAAAATTGTCAAACTATTATAGTTTTGATTCTAATTTCCGAACAAATGATAAATGATAGGTATAGTTATAAATTATATTTCACATCATTTTATTCCCTTCATAATAACTAATACAATATATCGAATACATCAATGGAAGGCTAATATTAGTTTCTTTGTCGCTATCGGATCCCAACAAAGATAAAAGTTTCATATAATAGTGAGTTACTATTGAGTAATATTTAATTTTTAATAGTTTATAGTTTTATATTCTTAAAATACATTTTTTTCTCATAATATTATGTATAATTAATTGATGATTTCAAATTGAAGTGAGGACCATATTAAAATCTGCCGTGGCGGCCCGCGGGTTGGCGGGTTGGTATAGAAGATAGAAATCTGTACGTGAAAAATATGACACACAACTCTTAGCGAATAACGGACAGTAACAATAACGGCGTTGTGGATCCCTTTTAAAACGTTTGCACGACCGATAAATACATAGAATAAAATCGAACAAATATTTCCGATTTAATCGCGTTCTCGGCCGTAGTATTATGTCGAGTGTAATAACAATAATAATAATAATAATAATAACAATAATGTATACTTAGTAAATCGGTAATTCAACTTTTCAAAATACTTATGTATAGCATATACACGTAACATGGTGGTTTTATTGTTGAAAAAAACTTCGAGATGCCGGACTAATTGCGCGTAACGTATTTTGTTCTGGTAATTATAATATTATTTATTGTGTTATTATTTAACAAAATGTCGGGACCGCGATAGTATGGTGAAGATTCACCGAGTCGAATCGAACCACCGTGATGTCGTGATGACACCGTGTAGGTAATATATATATATATAATTAGGTGCCTAACATAATGCCGTTTTGCAAAAAAAAAAAACTGAAAAAAATACTTTACAATTTTTTTTTTTTTACATAATAATAATTTAAACAAGACGTGCTCGGCGGGTTTAAAGAAAACAACACGAACATAGTACAAGAATAAGCAAATCAATCAACCCTTCGGAATGTGATTATTGTCAGTGTACGCGCATCAGTGGATAACTAAAGGCAGGTACCTATATAGATACCAGCGGTACAGTAACAGGACTGTATAAAGAGTTCGATTACCCCGTCGTCCAACGATTTGTTTTTCGTCGACTCGTCTCTTTCCGCGCGCGCGAAACACCGACTCCCGCGGTCGCGTTGGAGTTTATAAATTATATGCGAGGGAAATGGGAGAAAAAATAAATGTTTTTTTTAGAAAAAAAAAAAACCATCTATTCAAAACGATCGAGCCGTTTTCGCTGATCGCTTAAGTCGAGAACACGCATCATATTATTACTTACGAAAATATACAGTATAGTGTAACGATTGTGCAAAACGACAGAAAAACACGATTTTCAGTATAAGTATTCGAATGACTATACCTATACCTATTAGCTGTATCATATTGATCAGCTGCCAGGCACTGCAGTCTGTCAGCCGCGTCCGATCGCGACGACGCGACCGCGCTTTGTTCTTTGACCATTTCGCGCGGACACGGACGTATAAAACGAAAGAGAAAAAATATACAAAACGCCGGGTAACGTCACCGTGCAAATTTCCTACGATTTGTGTGAACAGGATAAAAAAAAATGCCTTCCTTTCGTCCAGCGTATATTATAGCGTACTTACCTGATGATAATATTAAACACGAATAATGTATACGGCGGATATACGAGTAATATTATGTACGGCGGATGTCGTGGACGGGGGGTTTTTCGGGAAAATTAAAGTCTATCACCGGTCGTATAACCGTTTCGAAACGATTATCTCAACGCATAAATTATTTGGGCGTGACGTTCTAATCTGGACAAATGTTGTCAACCGCACGCGAAAATTAATACGATTCCCCCGGTCGTAGGACTTTTACGTGTTCCGTTATTTAATATAATAAAACAATATCGGTGTATAAGTACACTATAAACAGTGTAGACGATAACATTTCGAAGGTAATTCCGTAGACGTTTTACAAGAATTCTCTAAAAGATTCGAGCTCACTTTCGAAATTAATTATTCGAAAAAAACAAAATAGTATTTTATATTTGTACTTTTTTTTTGAAATTGTAACTTTTTAAATAATATATATTTCCAAAAATTGCTAACGATAATGTTACCTTCGCCAACAAATCGTACTTGCGTTTAGAAGTTTTATCTCAAAAATCGATTTTAAAGACATCATTTTCGTTTATGTGAATGTATTTCGGCTACGTCACCCGTACGCAGACGAAAACTACGCGGTCTACAGGACCTATAGGTCTAAAGTCCTAGTAGTTCCTTAAGTATACTAAAAAAAAGCAGAATAGGGTCTGTTCCTGTGAATTTGTCCAGCTTATTAATATTTTCATCTCAATTTTTTTTTTTTTTTTCTATTCTTTTATACCATTATTTAAAATCGGATGAAAAATCGAAATTTAATACCGCCAATGTTGTTTATCAATTTTAAAAAAAAAAGGTTAAGAAAATAATACGTATACACCACAATGATTTATTTTATTCCTAATATTCTCTCAAAGTAATTTTCGTTCGTAAAACTGCTGTATGCCTTCGTTTTAAATGGATATAGGACAGTATAGATTACAGTGGAAAGATCTTATCTTTAAAGTGCACGTCATTCAAATGTTAATGATAATTTTAAAATTTTACAAAATTTATAAAACCGGCTTAACACAGTCATTGTTATATCGACGTGAACAATTTGTTTTCACATTTCCGGTATCGACGGACAACTTTTGACCGTTTCCCACGGCACGAGACGACGCGTCGGAAAATCGCCAACATAATACAGCGGACCGTTACCGGAGCCCGTTGGACGGGATTTACGTTCACACGTCGTCGTAAGTCTAGTTAATAATACACAAATCCGTCACGTCAGCGCGGTTGGTTTTTTCATTATTATTATTATTTTTTTTTTACAGGTATCTATATAATCTATAGATTCTTTTTTTTATTTCGTTCACCCGCACACCGATCGCAGTTCGGTATCCGATTGGCCGCTACCGCGATTGTCCTCACCTTCGGTCGGCATTTTGGTGTCATATAATACGAAGGTAGGTACCATATATAATAAAGTACCCGAAATAATATACGAGTATAACTGCAACTACAACAACGGCGACGAAGACGACTACGCGAGACTATTATTGATATAATATAATAATAATATTATTATTATTGTTATTATTATTTCATCGATTTCCCATTCGATTTCGAGTTCGTCTGTCGCCCGCACACACTATACTACTTATACACAATCGTCGTCGGACGCAATAGCTAATAAGTGCAATCCGTACTCTTTTAATACGTATATACTTATTATTGGTATATACAAGTTGTTCGGAATTTGTTGTTGTTGTTTTTTATTTTTTTTTTTCTTATCACCCCGCTTTTCTTTCCTCTCTCTCTCGTCGCACACAGTACCTATATATTATTTTTCTACGTCATCACTTCTGTTCCCGCAGAGTTCGATTCACACAATCCAATTGTAAATTTTTAAATTACTGTATTATACACACGCTTATTATTGTCACAGTATATACAGGTGCGGCTATATACTTGTACTGTATATAATATTATAACGGCCGGTGCCGCCGTTTCCGCCGTCTTCGGTCGCGCCATGCGCTGCAGTCATCGCGGACAACAACAATAATAATAATAATAATAATATATAATAATTATAGTGTCACACACTAGTCGTAATGGCTATATATTACTATTATTACATCATTTATAAATATATCTACGTGGAATATGATTTTCGGGATTTGGAAAAGTTCAAAGGCGAAAAACCTGTTCACGCGATACGTGTTAGGTTAGGTTAGAAAACGTGGGTGCGCGTGTAAAGGTGTTAAGCTAAATTCTGAAAAATAGGCTATTTTCATAAAATAAAGATTTATTTTAATGTGCGTTTTAAAATAAGTCATGATTTTTTTTTAAGTTTTAAGTTTTGAGCGTTTCAATTTAAACACAGTTAATCGTTATGTCACATTTTTGATAAAATAGTGACGTAAACTAAAATGCGCTTTTTATATGCACCGTGTATAAAGAGTCAAGTGAACTTAACCCATATTTTACGTTTCCTTAATTTAGTGTGTGTCAATTAAGCTTACAGTGAAAAATTATTTAAATCAATATGCATTATAAGTTAAGTCTATTCGTATTTTATTTTATTTTTTTTAACTAATACAAAACAACAGTAGAATTTTGAACATTAAAATATACAAAAGACGGACATACTATGCACGTGAGTGCAGCCACTGTTGTAAATGGGAAGTTGGAAAGGTAGGATACAGAAGGGAATTTTATGTATATCTGTAAGCAACGATAAATCATTGCTAACGAAAAAATGATTTTGAGCGGAGTTCAGTTGATATTAATATTTAAGTTTAGAACAAAGAAATAAAATGTAAAGATTAATAGCTAAAAGAATGTATTTAAATCGAAATTTATTTTATTTTAATATAACTCGGTCTATATAGTATTGCTTTTTCAACAATTTGTGTTTTCACGACAACAATGATTGTTTAAAAAAGATTTTTTAAAATAATAAAAACTTAATAATAACAAAATATAAATAAAAATGGTTGCCAATGAAAACTTTATTTTTAATATTTCAATTGCGTTTATCCGAAAAAACCAGGTTTTCTTCATTATCTCGAATATTAATGTGAATTTCACAAAATGACCTCTCTAAAGTACCATTCAGAAAACATTTCCTTTCAAGAAAGGTGCTATATATTTGATAATCAGTGTAAGCTTTCTGGTAGAAAAAGTGTTCACATAAAAAAAAATAAACTAATGTACTTGAACCATATGAATGAGAGCTGCGACAAACTATAATCTTAAAATTAATAACAACAATAACAATAATCACGATAAATGAAGTAACGTGGACTAACCGGTTTAAAAATTAAGAAAAAAATAAAAACTCATTTTATTACCCATATATATTAGTCATACAATATTATTAACACACCGTGTAAGTGATCGATTTTCACAAAACGTTACCGAGTGTCATAAATAAGTATAAGTAGAATCTACTTATATACTATACATGAACTTTAGTTGATAGTTATTCATAATATTGTTTGGCGTTTAAAAAAAAAATTTTTAAAAATACTCGAGTTTTATAATTACACCAAATTACGATACGTACCGAACACGTTGACTGCAAAGTTCGTCCACAATAGTAAAATATATAGTGGCCATCTCCTCGACCAACTACCGGAATGAACTAGGCCGGCAGTTGTCATATTTTAAAAAGCTCCTGAAATAAACAAAAACACATAATATTAATTTTATTCTTGAAAAATGACGTCCATGGTAAAACGGTCGATGATTATTATCAATTTTTATTCATATTATTATAGAGGCTTGTACCTAATAATTTAAATTCAAAATAAACCTTTTTATGAATCTAGTATATGATTTCGTTATCACGCTATAATATCATACAGAAATCGTGAAATTAATATTTCTCGCGTTTAAAGCGATAATATCGTTTTAAATATATACAGAGATCATTATTATGTTGGGCTAGAGGTTTTTTTTTTCCATAAGACGTTATTATTTTTTTATTCGCCTCTTCAACTAGGTAGGTATTATAATAATTCGTAATGTTTTGGTATGGAAATTTTCATCATTGAAGTAGTAGTTATATTTATAAAACTTCGAGTTATATGCATTACTTTTCGTTTTTTTTTTTTTTTCTTCACTTGCATTTAACCGTGTGAGGTGAATAGACTGTGCAACAGATACTTGCTGAAATATTACGAGAATATTCGCTCTTGACGTGTACAAAAAAAAACCCACTCCTAACGATTTGAATCGCGCGAAACACCGACAACAACATTTTTATATTAAAAACTATGTATGTAATTTTTCGTTTCTTTTTTTTTCTAATAATTTTTTGTATCTTCCCTATCCGTCATACATACGTAGGTATACGACTACAACACGCGTATATGCAACACAACAAACGGAATACTCCGCAGCGCGACCGTATAATATAATATAAAAAAATCGAGTCGAATCGTAGTGCGATGCTGAGTTCAAGGAACTATCTCGGAAAATCGGTAGTCGCACGTATGTCATTTTTCTTCTGTCCGCTGCATCACCAGCATCGTGAACCCGCAGCACGTATGAGCGTACAGGTATCGGCAATTAAACGAAGTTCGTACGAGACGAATGGACAAAAAATGAAAAATATTATTATTATAATGGGCCTTTTCGTAAAAAAAAAAAAAAAAAATCGATTTTCCAAGAAATATTAATAAATCTATGCATAACTTGACAAAAAAAAAAAATAAAAAAAAATTCGTATAATATTATGTATACGTCTATACGTCTGCGTATCCGGTCACGTTCGCGACTATAAACCGAACGTTTTTCCCGACGACGATAACTCGATCAGCCTACCGTGTAATTATTATAATATTATATGCGTAAGTGTAATATAATAGAAGCCGACGTTCGGTAAATGAACTGCCGTTGTAGACAATCATGCCAATGTCTGAATATTTTAACATAAAATCGTTACTGTTAGTCCAATGTCGGTTTTCGTAGTTTTCCTCCACGAGAAAAGTCATAAAATTGTCAAACATTTATTCCTTGTAGCCAAAGTAACTCAAAAATCAACAAAAATGACACAGTTTTTTCCGTTTATTAAGATAACCATACGGTTCGTAAATCGAAAAATAATTTCTCATCAAATATACCAAAAACGTTACGAGTAAGTTCCTACAAACGATTTTGATTTTGAGCAAGATATTCTGGTAGAAAAGCTGTTTATATACACACAATAAAACGCATCATAGTAAAACCAATGCATTCCTCGCTTCGCTCAAATATACATAAGGAAAAAAAACCCTGCAGTCATTTGATTAAAAATAATATAATATTATACAATAATAAAATATCTGCATAATTTTTTACATAAATATCTATACGTCATCCTATTCTACAGATATGTATATATTATAGTTTAATAATAACTGTAAATATAATTAATTTTGTTGTATTAAAAAAAATACGTGAAAATTGTCAACGGACCGCTTATAATATTATATCGTCATTATTTACGACGAAATATAATATTTTATAAACATCATCGCACTAACCTGGCAACGTTATACAGTAGTTTTAACTGTGAATTCATTATGTAAAAATAATATTATCGTAATTTTTGTCAAATCCGCGCGTTTTACTTCAGGATGATAAAATGTAACCGTTTTACACGAACGATTTACTGTTCAATAGTGGTTATAAAAGTGTTTCTAAATTCTTAAATCTCAACGCACCGGGTTGCCCGGCAGATTTCCGTGAATTAAAGATGACCACCAATCTGTTTTATTAAAAGTTAAATATAAATGAAAACTGGTTAATGCAACAGTTGCACGGATCGTACTAAAGAAGATATAGACATAACACTATTAAACTACTATTTTTTCAAAATACGTCAAGTATTTGTCAATGTAGTCAAAAATGGTTCAAATTTTTATTTTTATCGTTTTATTTGTGTGTATTTTAAACGTCGAATTCAATGGTGCGACCTTAATTTTAAAGTTGTTAACGATAAACCAATAAATGCGGAATCAAAAAATGGACATTTCTAAAAAGAAAAATGGAAAATGATTTATTTTATGATAAGTTTTCTAACCATAAATAGACGGGTAGGTACTCAGTAAATACGTGCCCACGTCTTAATCACGTTCGTATAAAATATCAAAATAAACGTATAACTCGGTCACTTTGTTGGTTACGTTGTGCTGATGCGCAGAATCTGAAAAGCAGCAAATCTCTAGCGGAATTACTATACCGGCGGTGTTGTTATTATCGCATGTATAGCGGCCAGTAGGTAGGTATATAATAGTGATAAAATAATAACGTTTAAATTACAGTAATCGCTGAAAAGATTAAATAAATATTATACGCGAAAGAATGCGCGCGCACTGACGGCATAATAATAACGGCATGTCCCGTCGTCAAATTAATAACAATATGTAATGCTATAAGAATAGGTAACACGTGTGCGCAATTTGATACGAATTACTTTTAACAATATAAACGTAGGTATAATACACGTCTTGCATAATACGCGTAGACCAAACTCCAGGACTTGTCTAAATTCAACTAAGATATTCTGCATGCCAGTTATACCTCGTAACTTAACGATTTTTTTTCGAGTTAACTATAAGGTTGTCTATATAAATAGCATCCTGTATCTTCATAGTTTGTTGAAATTACAGCGTTTGAATAATAATCCAATGATGTCAAAAATAAAAACATACAAATATACAAAATGCGGATTTATTTCGTTTCATGAACATAATATATACACTATTTGTTTTCACAGTGTCGATGGATACAAATAAATGATAAATGTATAATGTATAATATACTACATTTGAACAAAATATGATATGGACTTTAGAAAAGGACCACGTAGACGGAGGTCTGATAGTAGTTATTATATGGAGAGAAAACATTATCTGTAAAAAAGATTGCAAACAATTATACTTATATAACTTCCATTACCCTCCTTTTTTTCAAATTTGTGTACGACGGTAAACAATATACCTACCTATAATAAATTATTATTTCGTTTAAAATTAAACGTTTTTGAATGGACAAACTATTTAAATTATTATATATTACGGGGATTTTTTTTTTTATTATTATTATTTTGTTATATGTGTAACCATGCATGGAACACGCATTAACGTTCGAGTTGGAGACTTAATATAATTGACGCGTATATGACATGCGGGTATATTTATTTTTGGCAGGCGGACGGGCGTTAAACTCTCTTTGCGAACTGGGTCAGTGCACCGGTCGCGCGGGTAATAAGCGGATAAAGCCTAAATAAACGCACATAAAATCTTTCGAGAGTATAATATTATGAGTTTAATAAAAACACGGAACAAAAATCACACTGGTCGTTAAAATAATATATATTTGCGCAAAAGGACGACGATATTTTTACAATTTCGATAATACATACTTAATGATGTCGCGAGTAATATAAACGACGGGGAAATAATCAGATTTGGCGCGCAGATAAGCTATAAATATATATCATAATAATATTATTATCTATATATTACTTATAGTGTTGCTGTAGACAGCCGGCGAGTGCACCTATATATAATATTATAAATTTTCATCACGAGAGATTTGCAAAAAAAAAAAAAAGTATATTAATTTAGTTAGGTAAGGTAAGGTAAGATATATTGCCTAGTCATCGTGCAAAAACATCCTAACGCTTCTGCTTTATTGGATTTTATTTTTAAGTAGGTGGATGCTGTACCTATATTATTTTTTAAATTTTTCTTTACCTCGCTTCGTCATGCCGGTAGGTCGTATTATAAAAATACAGCTGCAGTTCAATAACTGCCCACGGCGATCTGGCGCACGAGTAGTTATAGCAAGATAGAAGGAATCGTGCGGCGATCGTCTTGGATTTTTAATATATACCCTCTATAGTATTATATTTACTGGACCAAATAAAAATGATAGTGTCCGCGAATCGGCTGCACAATAGTTGAATAACGCCGTCCATTCAGTCGTTTCCCGAATAATATTATACGATACTGTTGGTTCGAGAGAGGCGGTAAAGAGAAAAGACCCGCCGCTTGCCAGGTGATTTTCGTCCATTCCGCCATTCGATACGGCTATTTTTACGCACCCGTTTATAATTTTAATTTATCAGCGGCGGCGACGGCAGTAAACCGTGCCTATATATATATAATGTGATATCTAGATTTCTGGCGAACCACGCGCGAGCGTAAACAAAGTACGCGGGCTATTGTTTTATATCGGCTGGACTTGACGTCGGTATAAATAGGCAGATAGGTATAGGTATACCGTTAATCTCATCTCGAAGGAGAGTGTATATAGTTATGATAAGTTACTGGTGCTGTTACAGTAGTGTTATTATAACACGCACACACGCGATAATAACGATAATAATATAATAATGATAATAGGAGTCAGGAGGGGAAGTTGCAGCAGTGTTCAGCCCTATATAATATATTTTTCTTTTCAATCGCAATTTTATACCGCGATCTTCGTTCCGCGCGTACCTACAATAATGACAGAGCAGTACTACGGACAGGTAGATAGGTAGATAGGTATACTATACATAATATAATTATTATTGTTGTTCATCTGTCACACTTGGATTTCTGCAGTATATACTCGTATAATATATAATAATACTGAGTGTTTTGCTGCAACAATGTAGAGAGATGCATGAGAGATGTATACAAATGGCCGGAGGTCGTGGGCAGCTGGGGTTGGCGGTCGGAGGGGAAACAATAACACTTGGTTGCCAAACGTAATAAAGCACAATTGTGACGGAGATTCGTATATAATGCTCGTATAATATATAATAACGATCCGTGTTTTTGGTGACGATTATTATTCTTTCACCTGCAGGAATTCACGATGACTGGACGCGTCGCGTCGAGAATATTATTACGAATTCAACGAGAATCTGTCAATTATTATTATTTATGATGTTGAAAAATCGAGACCACGCGGCACCTGCAGCTGCGTGCAGACAATGCTCCGCGACACCCTGTGCCGTAGCAACGGAGCTCCGTCCGCGGTTGCTGTGGCGACGAGCAGCATAATAATATTATTATTGTCGTCTGGTGATAAAAACGGGTCAGACCGACAATGTCGAAAAGTAATAGAAGGCGAAAAAAATCTGAAAATACGCGTTCGGTGTTGATTTAATTAGGTTTTCTCGGTCGTCAGCAATTGCAACGGCACAGAACCGAATGGATTCAGCGCTAGGCACGTAGTTCAATACCGTTGGCGCAGTTTTTAATTTGACGAGGTCATCTATATGTTCGATAGCACGGAACAGATTCTGCAGCCGAGCAAACTCAATAATGCGGTATTTCAGAATGTCGGTCTCGTAATATTTTTTGCATCTATATATCTATATACGGTGTTTTATAAACTAATATATTTATTATATCGTTTTGACACTATTTGCGTACATAACTACGGATAAAATAAGACAATTAAACATGTTTTTCTTTTACTCTGTCGCTTTTTGAACGACGGGGACAATTTATTTACAACATTAGTTTATTAAATGAATAAATACTAAGCTATAAAACAATATATTATATCTGTTGATAAATAGACAGTATTTTTTTTTTAAACGAAAATACTCTGAATTATATTTCCGTTTCATCGGTGCAGTCGAAATTTTACATTTTTTTAAAACAATTTTTCGAGAACTTAATAATTTTAAAAGATACATTTTGTGCGAATGCAACTATGTAATGATTTTTTACCTATACATTTCAAACGTATTCTCTGTACAGCATTTATTATTCAATTGTATCGAATATAATTTTTTTTCCCTATGAAATAGAATAATAATATATGAAACTCATAAATCGATTTTTCATGTGCAGAAGAAGAAGAAACGATGATGGACAGACATACATAATCGAGAGGTTCTATTTGTTATTTGCGTGGGCAATGGAGGTATAGTATAGTGTCAGATGAAAGTGGAGGTTGTAGATTATAAGTCAACCGACCCCGAATATCTACAATAGAAAAATATGACGTGAAAGAACAATATTTTTTCCTCGTGTTTTTTCTCATAAACAGTCTGTTAATATTAAAACCTACATTTTTTTTTTTTACTATAACTGTAAACTGGGCTAATGCGTTTTATTTTTATTCATCTAGATTGTGATGATGGCTTCGGTTTTTATATTATTATTTTTTAAATATATTTCGATGGTTTAGAAAAAAATAATAATGAAAAACTGTATCGTAAAGAAAAAAAAAATATAAATTTACGCGGTACCATCTTGCAAGTATATATATTATAAAAACATGTTTAACTCAAATTATCTGTACGAGCATATCGGTTATTATCATTTACAAGTAAACTGTGAAGTGATCTTCGGTAGTTCAGGTGTGATGGTGAAGGGCGTTTCTTCAATGGAGTTGTTTAGCTATAGAAATATTATGTGGAAACGAGGCAGGGTAAGTGATGAGGTGGTAATTTTAGGTCATTCATTTTGAATATACTTAGATTTGGAATTGAAATATCCTCTACACACTGCTGAGTTCCTCGTGACCAACGTGAATGGATACGTGAATAATATACGAGTAATCTACCGTCGGTTGGCCATTGTCAATAATAATCGGTCATGTGATTATTATTATAATTATTTTTTATTAACCCCGATGTTGGTCACGCAAAACAGACGTTCGAACGTTATATCATATGATGAAAAAAAAAATTTATCCCCGCGTGTTTATCCTTGATTCTTTTTTTTTTTTATCTCACTATTGTTATGTTCGATGTAATTTCACCGTATAAATTATTTCGGAAGGAAAAAAAAAACAATTGTTAGGAAAATAAAAAACAATACATATATTATAATAATCAACTGAATTAACTAGGTATATGTTAACGGGTTTCTTCTACGGTTTGGCGCGTAAACGGTATAGGTATAATATGTATTTCCATTATTATTATCGCACGAGTGCATTGATATCATTAGCCCAACGTACTCTGTCGGCTTACTGGTTGTCGGCTTCACGTCGTGATCCTCAATAGTATAATAATATAGGCGCGCGATGTCACTGTTATCGGTTAGATATTCCGAGACATTCGGAGCGGAAAAATTATACGGTATTAGTTATCGATAATAATTATACCGCTAATCCAAAACCGTGAATATTCAGTAGGTAATCAATATATTCGTCATTATAACTATAAAGGTACATCTGTGAAGCCAGTATATTATAATGAACTACTTAGGTATATGGGATAAGGCCGATGAGTAAAATAGGAGTAAACAAAATAAGATTAGGGTTTATTGTAGTGGAATACATATTCGACAAATGATGGGAAATATAAAGTGAAAAAAAGATTAAAAGATAAAAATATTGAAATGTGACCGGTGTGTATACGAGTGTTGTGAGCAGTGGTACAGCCATTGAGGAGGGTTCGGGTGTTTTACTGCCCCCATTTAATTTTTTTCTTTTATTTTTTTAGCTATAGGTAAGGTTAAGAATGATGCAGACCTCTAAATCCCCCTAGACCCTCCTCTCAAAAAACCCATAAATAGGATAAATCCTAGCTACGCCACTAATTGTGATAGAATTAAAAACGACGAGAATATGAAATTTAACATGGTCAAGAAAGTATACGAGATTAGTTAAAGATATAGGTCTAAGCAAACGTGGATAAAGGTTATTATAAAGGTTATAAAGGCTAAATAGGGAAGATAAATGAGTGAAGACGTGTGGAGTATATGTAGATATAGTAATGATAGCAAAGGGTAAATTAAATTTATATAGAATAATAGAAGCTTGAAATGTCAGACTACTGACTAAAAAAAAAAAAATCACAACAATAAAACCAAATTTAATTTCAACTGGCCGAGAGAAACTTTGTCGCCGTTGGTTGTTCGTAAATTTTATTCCTCTCACGCATTTACCGAATGCTATTTGGAATACATTTGTGTAATATATACGATTGAAATCCAATAAATACAACGACGGCATTCCTGTTCCAATAATATAGAACGGTTTATCGTATATATAAATACAATTTTTCATATCTCCAATATCTCGAAGACCCGGTCGTTTATAATACGTTTAATGTTTTTATACGCAATATTATATTGTATTCATTTTTATTGGTATCGATGCAATTATATCTACCGTGTATATATATATAGGGGCCTGCTGTTGCAGTCGGTGCAATACAAGTGCAGACAGTTTAAATCGGTACACAAAGGAGCTGGAAAAGCGAGTACCGCGACTATCGCACATAATATATCATTCAGAAAATCGTTTTAATTCGTATTCTGTAAAGAGGTATAACGATAACTTCAATAATAATAAAGAAAAGCTATAAAACATTATTGTATACCATCACGACCCGATATAATAATATGATAGATAATAGATCCGCGCAGTACGATTTATGTACGGTAGATAATTATATGTGGAAATGTATAGACTCTTCCATCGGCAAAACGATCGAAACGGCATTTTTATACCATTGTACTGGCTGCAATAAAACTGCTTGAGGTGAACCAAAAATACTTTGGATTATTTATATAATATCTATTTATGATGATAGATAAATATTCAAACAGTCTGCAGTTCAAAGAACCATGCGATGATAACCAGTCTTGACCGCTTCGAGTAAAATAGCCTCGATACTCGCGGAGACGAATCAAAATTGAACTTCACTATTATAAGAAACCAGACTAGATATGGGGGAAACGCAGATTTTACGAACATATTATATTTATTATCACGCCGAATTTTAACTGTAGTACGGAGACGACCGTCATCCGAGATATCGTGAGCTTCGAGTAAGTTTGAAACGAAGACGTTTTCTGCGACCGATCGGATCAGAAAAACTTCAAATGCAACCCAATACCCAATACATACTTTTTATTACAACTGCCTCTTTGATGACAATTTTCTCGTTCTACAATATTATTATTTCAGTCGTCTGTCTGTTCAATTATACACGTCATAGTTATCGTTTGATTTCTTTTTCCGTATCCATCAGAACGTCTCATCGTCGGCCGAGTAAATACAATACCTATTTCGATGGATGTCATCGTTTCCCCAGCGGCCGTGGAAAAAAAAGAGACTGATATTGCTGATGGGCGTGCCGCTGTTTTAGAAGGAAAGTTGGAAAGGAGTATATTTATAGTAGTTCAATTTATTTATGCTCGTAACGGTAAATAAATTATCAACGAAAGACAATTCTGAACGAAGAATATTAATAGTAGTATTTTGTTGCCAACATAACCAAGAAAACATAAAAAGTTGCCAATTTTTCCCGTTTATTAAAAAAAACATACAAAGAAAATCGAAAAACAGCCTCTGCAATACACTAACTAGATCGAAAATTCGACAAGAAAACTCCTATACAATTTTCGATCGTAGGAAGATTTCCGGTAGGTAGAAAAGTTGTTTACAGCCGCAAAAATAAAAATTAATAACTCATCATAGTCAAATCGATACATTTCTCGATTCGTTCAGAATCTAGAAAAAAAAAAATCAACGAAAATTACCGATTTACTATAGTGCCACCTATATCCGCAATACAATATCACTACTGTCGTGGTATACTGCACATATCGCAGTAGTAATAAAATAATAATAATAATGAATAAATGACACGGCAATATTATAGTACCGACACATAATACTGCAGTAGGGAAAAAAATGGGTGAAGGTCTCGAGGTCGGTCGGTTGATTGCTGGATCACGGTTCTTTATTTTGCTGCGTGACAAATTAATCATATACACATTCACGCGAGCCATCGTATTATAATCTTCTCTCTCGGTTAATAATATAATAATATAGTATGTATAAACGAATCCGTTACTGAATACGACGAAAAACATTATTATTATTAAAATGGCATCCGTCTGCACGTACCGTGGTCCAGTTTTTTTTTTTTTTTTTATTATTAGTTTTTTTTAGTTTCTATTCATTTACTGGGTCACAACGCACGCCGCCGACGCGACGACGTCCCCCACGATTTTCCTATTTCTTTTCGCGTCGTTTTGCGATCGCACACAACTCCTGTTGCCGCTATAGTATACTAAAACGAAACAATTGAAAACGTTCAATGGAGATCAATAACTAATCAATGCACCGTTATATTATAGAATATACTATTATATTTTATGAATATTTTGAATAAAATGGAAAAAAAAAAATGTTAAACTACAAAAAATTGAGAACAATTGTGCATATGCCTATGCAGTCTTGTTTAATATTATAATAAAGGTATGTACGTACGTGGTCCGAGATTATCAAAACGATTAAATCAATAGTTTAAAAAAAAAAAAATCGAAAATTGATTCAGGTTATTCGGTTTCGAGCTGCAATATTATTTTTTGTGATTGTAATACAGAATAGTAAAAAAGCCGGACACACTGCACACCACGGGTAGGCCAATATGTTGTATATGTGGGGAATCAGAAAGGTATAGAAGAATATATAGGATAATTTAGTTTATGTAATGAAAACAACGGTGAATAAATGCAATCGAGAGAAAATTCTGAGCGAAGCTCGGTAAACTGCTATGGTTATAGCATCAGGGAAATGTTTCCTTGTATAGTCAAGGTAAGCCAGAAATCAACAAAAATAAAAACAATACGTATATGCTTGTCGTCAGTTTTTAAATTTTTTGAAATAACTATTAAGACTAGAATTTTTTTTTGGAAAATCCGCAATTTTTACTACTAGAATAATTTGGAACATTTGCACTAATCGAAAAAATATATTTTCCAAGGAGAGAAAAAAACACATCGTAATATAACTAATCGCACTCGCTACACGAAGAATGTTAAAAAAAAAAAAAAAAAAACAAGAAAATAGAACAAGTAATATATTTAATAGAAAACGGGGAATAATAAATTTCCACGCAATTAAATTTGATTTCCATTTTCGATAACGAGTGCATAGAAACAGGTAGCGGGTTAGATATAGTCTCTCATAATTTGTAAAGCTTGTCAATATTGTCTGTTTTTGACCGGCCGGCGCGCAGTCACGAATCACATCACGAATCGTATACGTAAATTTGTTAACACGCCGTGACATAATCGAAACGCGAACGATATTTTTACGCGGACGACGACGATGGCCTAGAATTCGCTCATCATCAGCGTCGTCGTCGGGTCAGTATTATTGTTATTATTACTATGATTGTGATGCATATAATATCTGGGGACGAAAATAAATAATACAAGTATAAGTGAAACATATCAAATATAATATTGTAATAATGGCAACGGGCGATATTATTATAAGAGGAGCGATGACGACGGGCCTTCTCTTGTTTCTGTCGCACAAAGGCTGTCAGTGGCTGCACGTATACGTATACTTGCTGGCGAGCCGAAGAAAGTAAAACGTTCGGGATTATTTCTGATGCTGCGAAACGGGGGTCCGGTCGTTCATTAGTAGGCATATAATATTTGTGCGTTGAATTGTCACTCTGGCTGGTGTATAGAACACCGCAGAGCGGATAAAAATCATTTGAATGATACGACTCCGAGAGTGACCCACATTGTGTGGACCACATAAATATACGTATCATAATGAATAACGCGTATGATGGACAAATAATAATAATACCATTACGCTCGCCGTGGTCTGCTACCTATACTATACAACTACTACAGGTCTGTCTCCGAAACAATAATATTATTTGGACTGTGCATTTGTAGCGAATGTATTATAGATTCTGAGAGAAACGAGAAATGTTTCGGTTTTAATATTATATGTGTTGTTTTTTTGTGTCTGTAAATAATTTGTCTACTAGGTAGATCTTGCTCTAATGCCCCAATGATTCAACTCTCTTGTAGCATTTTTTTTCCTAGTTATGGGCATTGTGGGGGTTATTTTTTGATATCGGAAAAGCTGGCAAATTTGACATGAATATGTCTTATGACAGGGGATGAAAAAAAAATTAGTGTTACGAAAATAATGCAACGTTTTTTGGTTCAAACAATCAAAAAGAACAATGTAATACATTACTGTTGTGAAGAGATGTGTGCAGGAAACAAAACAACCAAAAAAAAGCAACGATAGTTTCTCTAGCAACGTAATATATCGTAAAGTAAAAACTAATTTTAGTGACATATTCGCAAATATCATTTCGATGTTGAACATTAACAAACATACAATTATATTATGTAATATTTTTTATCATAAACCAATAACCATTACTTACAATTCCTTGTTGATATAAATAAATATAAACCTCAAGATAAGTACATGCGATCATTAATATTTTTTTATGGCCTGCTATAAGACGTATTAATGATCTTATGTTTTTCTCAAAAGGGAGAAATTAGTTTTTGTACAATTTTTGTTGATTTCTATGTTATTTTGACAGCAAAGGAAACAAATACGAATAACTATACTCTGTTCAGAATCGTTTTTCATTAGCAATGGTTTACCCATCACCATTATCAACTTGTTTCTCTTATTTTTTTTCTGATAAATTTTTAAACATAACTTTTTATTATTACAAATTACACAACGATTCGGTTTCGAAACATTTATTTATACATTTCCGGTTTTGTTTAATTCTTTTGTTTTAAATTTTGCATTTTTCGGAATTTAAAATGCTTTATGAACGCGTTTTTTTTTTTTTACTTTTGGCCTTTTTTTTGCATCAAATTCACAGCCCTAATTATAAATATAAGGTAGGCAGGTATCGTATTCGTTCTATATTTTCATTTATATATCCTTATTGTTTATGTGTTTTCGTGGTAAAAATCAATTCATGTTTTGAATATATAATACGTACATAATTCGATACCATCGAATACTGGCAAACGCGTCTCATAAACATTTTTCGATTTGATTGAATTAATGACGACGATTTATCAGGGCATTTTTTTTTTTTGCCCCGTTCATATAATGCGATGTACCTAATCGTTACCGTTGTTTGCGTGCAGTGCCTGTATATAAACGAGTAGAAAGTAGAAAAAAACGTCCGTACCGTGGGCGAACTCGGCCTTACTATAATAATATATTTACTTTTATTATAATACATACAACGATACTATAATTCCGCGTATAAATATAAATTACGTGTATTAGGTACACGGATGCAGACTAAGTACAACAATTTTGCACGAACGTTTTCTCGTGCCATCGCCACGAAAATACAACCTATAAAAAGTAAAAATATGTACATATCTAAACCATTGTGAATTGTGATTTATTATTTATTTTTTTACGGGTTATTTTAAAGAACACTTTTCTTCGACTATATTAATTTGGCACACCGACGCAGTGGTCGGGGTATGTTAATCACAAACATACAAAGGACCGATAAAATGCAATAATATACTCGCGTAATATTCGAGCAGAGGATACGAGTGCAGTAATAATCTATAAGAGCGGTTTCGCAAATTAATATTGAGTGGAAAACTTTCCACCGGTCAAAGAGAAACTCTACCGAACTCGCGCTCTCGCTAAAAATATTCTTTTGAAAATCACGAACTTTTGATCGTCTCAGCTGTTCGAAACAGTTATAGGAACAAATGCAAACAGACCAATACGACGCATGCATGTAGAAGGACAGGTGAAACGGAGATGATCCCACACAGATTGCGCGGACCGCAACTGCGGAAGCGTGCGTGGTGTACTGCAGACGACGCGGAGATTAACGACCGAAAATCCCTACACAACAGTTAGTCGGGAAAAGACGACCGTAGACGGTATACCGCGCCCGAACGAGCGATTCGTCTCGTCCCTAACGAAAATAAAAAAAAAAAAAACAAACAAATATGAACGTTGAACAATAAGTCGCGTGTGTCTTTACGCCGACGACGATGACTGGCCGTACGTTTATTGTTCGCCGACGGATGCGGGGCGGGCGCGCGCGCGCTCGATCGCGCATCATCTCCGAGACTTTTATTTTCCGCCGTGGATAATGCGCGGTGATCCGCCGACAGCGCAGTTTTCACGGTTTTCCAGCGAGTCACCAAAGACGGTGCAAGTGATAATACGTGTATTATACTTATGTCTATGACCACCTACCCGAAAACGTTCGCTTTTCCGCGAGCAATGACGGCGTCCGAGAGGAGCCTTGGAAAAAATGTGCGCGCACACACGCCGACAGCTATGCTCTGTAAACGCAGCGGCTATACAGAAAAACCAATACGCGCGCACACACACGCACACACACACACACACACACACACACACACGCACGCACACATACACACAAGTCACCGACGTTTTCCCACAAGAACCGATGTGTAGGTATCACAAAAAACCGACGGGCGTTAACCCCTCTGGTATAGGTGTATAATAATATTATACTCTTGTATTTATATAACATTATGATGTATGCGTTTATAATATAAATATATTATTATTATTATGTTTTTTTTTTTTTTTTTTTTTGCGAGCGTAATACAGTGACGTGTGTATATGACTATATACATATAACATTATATCGTCGCTATTATATTATATCGAGAATAAATACACGAGCACCTATTTATGTATAATAATATAATTTATAATATTATATTATATGCATTGATGTGTGCATCAATTTTCGCACCTGTATATGTATCGTTACGCCGTCCGAAACGAATAGTCGCTACTGTCAAAAAAAAAAAATAATAATAATAATAATGTCATTTGACGTAAATCTCGCGGAGAGACGAAAATAGTACTATATTATATATCATGGGTATAAGCGGGGTTCGGCGGTACCTGCCTATAGCGTTTGCTTATTTTTTCAGCATCAAGTCTACTGTATGGAGCACTATGGAAATTTCGCCCGTAGTCAAAAAAGAATACAAAAACGCTTTTTCCTATAGTTTTCTATATTTTTCGAGTGTTCATGTCAGAGTTGAAATAAAGTTCTTTAACTCTTTTTTTTTTTTTTTTTTTTTTTTTTTGCCGTTTTTAAGCGCTATAAGTGCCGAACCCAAAGTATTTGCCGCGGGGAGAATCGTATAAAATTCCGCTACGACTATGACGACGTCGGAAACAAGTTCTCCGCGGACAATCCGGTCGCGCGGTGTTACTCGTCTTGTATCTTTGTGCGTATCGGCGCGTGCGTATTTTCTGTATTCCTGCCTACCGGCGAACGAAAAGCAAAACCAATTATATACTTCCCCGGCTTCCCTCCCGGCCGGTATCGGTATTACTAAATAACTATAAGTGTATTATATTATTATTATTCTTTCACACCCCGACGACGGCTTCCGAAGTCAACGACATCGGTTATGCAGTCTATAAACACACACACACAACGGCCTCGGTCTCGGCAGTCTCGTTTTGTATATGTCTAAACGCGTCAATACCCGAAGACCGACTACGGTTGTCGGCGTCTACGTATAAACAATAATCAATTGCAATTGCAGTTCGTTGATTTACTAATCATGTTTACCGCCGCAGCCGCGAGTAATGGCACATCGCACATCAATTGTGGTCACACGATTCAGTTGGTGAATAAAAAGGGTTTTCATAAACAAATAAATAAATAAAATAGAGTCCACGTTCTCCGAGAGTTAGTCGGATTCATCGGCTCGGGGGGGGGGGGGGAGAAACGTTACATCTCCTCTGTTCCAAATTATTGTATTGCGATGCTATAAACAATATGTATCTATAATAGTATCGAGTATCTAGATACTCATTTTAAAGTATATTGTCTATATCTCGGACTGTGCGATAGATTTCCGTAAGAGATCATAATACGAAGTTTGACAGCCATATACTATTTAAAGTTAAATAACTGTATTGATTGACCCGTAAAATATTTGTTTATATCATCATGGATTCTGTGTAGAAACAATTAGTGCTTGATTTCAGATATTTTCCATATTATCACATAATTTGACCTCGATAGCCGCTGAGATTCTTATTTATTTGTAATATCGGTGCGATTGACACGAAACATGATAAATACTGGTTTTAAACGTTCTTCAGGAAAAAATTATACTATATCAAAAGTAAACTAAACATACAATTTATGTATGTACAACGATAAATGTCTGCTATTTGCTAACAAAATACGATTCTTAGCAAAATCGATTAAACATGTTTTGAAATGCTGTGATTTTTACGATCAAAATGTCAAATATGCCTACAAATAGCATATAATTCTAGCTCACTGCGATAATTGTTAACTGAATTAAAAATTAAATTAAAAATAATGAAATCGTTACGGCCTTTAACTTTTCCGTTTCCCTCCCCCGTTATTAAGAAAACTACAATGGAAATCAAAATATGGCCTTTTAAGTGCACCAACTAGATACAATTTTCTTTGAACCAGAAAAAAAAATCGCTTCACTTGAAAGTCGGAACGATATTTGATGAAAATATTAACGTGATGAAGATAATTTTTCTTTTAGATTTTAGAATATGTAAATCATTGTTATCAATTCGAAATAATGGATATTTCATTAAAAATGGCTGTGAATCGGAGGGCTAGTGAATGGTACACTAAGATTTTATTTAGAGGTATTTGAGGTACCTATATAAGTATATTCCGCCAAATTTACATCATTTTTATTACCTAGTGTAATGTTCAACGGAAAACAGAAATGCGTGATTTTTTTGAAAATTGGTATTCATTTCGAGTACACCTACATACTTAGGTAGATATATTATATAATAACGATATAATTATACGACAATCGAATATAGTTCGATTCCCACGAACGTCGTGTAAAATAATAATGTCAAGAGTACCTATAATATTCGTACTGCTGCAGTCTATACGATTCTAATATGTATATCAGCACAAAAAGCGTGCGAGTAAAAAATACGAATGTACAAAAAAGACACTGGTAAATATATATTATGTACCGTTGTGTCGGTTTGAATAAAATATCGCATATTAAAATATACGAGTACACGTATTGCGGCGGCAACGGTTGACACATTATTGAAAGTAATAATATTGTAGCGGATACCTATGTACGAGTACTTGGCGCGTTTGATTTCAGTGTTGCGGAATGCGAGTTATAATATTATATCGAGACCTACTTATCAATAAGAAATAATAAGATAGTATGATTTATTTAGGTTTTTTTTTTGGCTTCAATTTTTTCCTCTTCTTTTCTTATTGCGTTGCACGCTTACACCATGTTTCACCACGTACACATACCTATAATATAGTATACATATATAAGTATAAGTATACCTGTAGAGATCGTTAGTAATATTTTATTTATTAAAACCCATGGAGTTATACTCGTATTATTATGTGATAAACATTATTACAAACACGGACAACTTTTGAGTTTTTCACTTTGACATTTCAACGATAGGTATATTAGTCGTCCGAGATTTGCCAAAGAAAACCATCTCGTATCAAACACACGGCTATATAGTATACCGTATAACGTAGTTTTGTTAAGCCTTCGGTCATGAGAATTGAATTATAATCAGTATAATATATTCGTAGATAAAACATTTATGTAAAAAAAAAACCTGTATTTCTATATGACCGACCGTATCCTAGAGTCCCACAAAAGATGTTATCTATATAAAGCTTGGCAGACACATACATATTAAGAGGGTAAATCGTATTGCTTGATCCATGAAATATTAATTTATGCCGTAAACTATATATTATATATGTGGTGATATCGTTATAAAAACCGAGTTACACTTTATATAGAACAAATTTGAAATATTTTTCGTGACATAATCAAATATTTCACGGGTTAATATCGCAATAAAACTCACCACCGTGGTACCTATAACATATCATAGACCTGTAAATAAATGGACTGACAGCAGCGGAATAGAGAGTTCCAGGGGCTGATATTGTAAGAAAAGGATAGCGAATAAAGTAAATCCGTCTATACGTACCATGTACCTATTAAGGGAATGGAACTATTCGACGGTGCCTACAACCTATAGGATATACATGAACGCGCAGTCCATATAATAATACTAAATAATAATGGCTTTCGAGTTTCCCGTAGAGTCAGCTATCTATAGTTTTTTGTATCAAAGGATATCGACGTATCGTTAATATAAATCGTTGCTCTAATTTCATCACGTAAGCATTAAATGCGAATGATAATCGTACCGACCCGTTCAATATTCGCGTTCAATTGTCTTCAATCAATTAACGTTACATTATTTTATTCGATTTTTTATACACGATGGTAAAAAAAAAAAAATTAAAATTCTATTTATTAGTAGCGCGTCCATATTGATCGACAAGTGGAACACCGTCGCGTTGGGAAAACACGAGAAGACTTCCGATTCCTTCCCTCTCTCAGTTTACTCCCTCTCTCTCTCTCTCTATCTATCTCTCTCTCCCCCTCAACTAATTATACAAACGGACGAAGAATGGAGAAACGAGTCGACCGTCCAGGGGTCCAGATTATAAAAAAACGAAGTCTCCTGCCGGTTCGTTATAATATCTCCGCGAACAAATAAAACCGATCGGGGTTTTTTTTATTATGTTCCATCACACGCACGTCTTAATAATATTATAATATCCACACTTATGATAATACCGTCACTTTGCATCGACGGGCGGTGTAATAATATTATTTGTTTTGTTTTTGTTTTTCTGCCCGGGAAACCGCATCATATAACAAAACGATATTCCCACGAGGATCGCAATTCGCGGACAGCGGTCTGCGGTGAACGAATACGATACAAATGTACGGAGGAGAAAAAAAAATAATATCGTATCGACGCGGTTTTACTGTAGGTAATATTACTTTACGATAACTGGGTATATCGTGAGCGCCAAATAATATTATTAGCCCCCTCGCGAGTATATAATAATTGACCGCGATCATGAAGACGTCGTGTGAGCAACGCCGCGGATTTCCCGTCAACAATCGTAATTTCAATGTATATAGGTAAGTACTAGTGATCGACGAGTGCGCTAATTAAGTAGACCATAATCATTAATCGTATCCATGTATACCTACGACATTTCCTCCGTTTGTTTATTTCTCACCGTGCATTCCCCTACAGCAACAACAGAAATTAAAAAAAAGAAAAAAAAAACATCCGTTAGTTTTTACGTCGGCAGCACACGACTTGCTTGTGGCCGTCCGCCGCAGCAGCCGCGAACGGATACGCTTGTCCGCCGCCGTTACTAATCGCATCACCGCACTGCTCGGAAATATACAATAATATAATAATATATTAGTTACCTACGTTTTTTTTTTCACGCGCACATCATACACGCAGAAAACAAAAACATCAATATTATTATTGATCGGAGAAAATAACACGCGAGCTCGGAGTTAATAAATACAATGCAAACCCGTCCGAGACGGAACCACACGACCGTATTTATTATCGATAAAACGGTAATTTTTGTTCGATCCCTTGGATGAGTTCCGTTTTAGATTCTCGGCTAAGCGAGGAATGTATATTGATCAGGTATCAAACCGTTTTAGTACGATGTGGTTTTTTTGCTTTTGTGCCTGTGAACATCTTTTTTACCAGACAAATTTCTGCTTCAATTAAAAACTTTATTAGGAACTTTCTTGTACGATTTTTTTATCTACCTAGAAAAGGTAATTTTTTTTCCTTTTATTTTTCAACTATAATGAAAACTGGCAATTGTTTGTATAATTTTTGTTGGTTTCCGTTTTATAACCTTGGCAACAAGGGAACAAATACACCGCTCAGAATCGTGTTTCGTTATCTATCGTTGCGGACGGATATAAATTTAATTAATCTATATATATCATTCTTTCCAACATCCTTCCAAAACCAATGGCACGCCCATTATCAATATCAGCCTGTTTTTAGACTATATGAGAATATAATATATTCTCATTATAGTCGTTCAAGTTGGTATTTATAGCAGTAATAAGATTGTGAAGGTAGGTAAGTATATTTTTGTTTGCATTCGGTCGGGCAAACGATGTTGGTTCTCATGAGCAAATTCCATTGCGCGGTACGACAAATAATAGTGCACCCCCTCCCGACCTTGGAATTTTTCATTGTTCTCGTGTATATATACCTATAATATTTTTTTATCGTTTGCGATAAAAGTCAACAAGGGCCATGAGAAGCCGATTATTTCCCCGTTTGTGTATTGTTATAGTAGTTGCAGAGAATATATATATATATATAAAAAAAAATTATTTATAACTAAACCGAACGTTATTAACTCGTTAGCGCGATTTAATAAGAAAAAAATAAACCCCAGACATTTATTTTATCTTACGTCACGTGTATATATATATCTATAAACCTATCTAAATCTATAGTGTGTTTAAGATTGATCGATAAATTATTTTAGTTCAAAAGTGAAAACTGCCGAAGTCGGATTAATTGCCATAACCTCCAATGTGAACGAGATGATATTATAATTATATATATATATATAAAAAAAATGTTTAAGAAAAAAAATGGATTTTACTAGATTATTATTCGGGACGATTGTTTGCCGAAACTGATTTCATTGGCCTTAATTCGTCTTTACGATATCGAACAAAGAGGGGTGGGGAAACAGAAAACTAAATGTATAACATCTACAGATTGTAGAACAAAAACCAAACGAAACGAGTGTTTTTTTAACGTTAATTTGCATTCCAGACGTTTTCGTTCTATGGAATATTATATAGTATATTATTTAAAAAATGTTTCCGAGTGATTTCGGCCAAACCGTAACTTTTTGACTATACTTACAATTATTTAAAAACTACATTTTTTTTTCTTCTCATATTAAAGTTTACTATTTTGGTGTATTTTAAAGACGATATTATATCGAAATGATTTCTCAAGAACAACTGCACACTGGTAAACACCAATCAACTGTTCGTTAATACCCACCGACCGAATTGTGTTTGTTTTATTTTATTTTTATTTTTTTAATACTAAATATCAAGCAATTCAGAACGTTGTATTTAGGTTAAACCGTCCTATGGAGGGACCAAAAATTGTACATCCTCATTCCACCCCGGAATAAAATCATAAATACGTCATCCAGTTATAACACCAAAGACTTATTACCCATCGTCGGAATTCTGTATAGTTTCCCGAGATCCACACCTCGATACACACGATATTGTTATTATAATACACGCTAAACTAAACGCGGAAACGTTGCAGGTACGGAACCAAAATGCCTATATCTAATAACGGGACCCATGTATCGCAACTGGTTTATAACGTCGCGAACTGGGCAATTGCCCCCGCGGGAGTCAAAGTTTCATATGCTCAACAACACACCGAAACCGGTTTATCGTTTTTGTTGGCCGCACTTCACTATATTATATTTATGCACAACGCACATGACGAACCCGCGCACTTCGTCCGCGACGAGTTCGTCTTTTTTTAAAACGGCGCAACGGCCGTTTCCAGACGAATGCGCAGTGTAATTATTAACAATAATTTATTATTATTATAACACATTAAAACTGTGCGATTATAATATTGTGTAATACGAGTAATGCGATTAACGGGTCTCGTCGTCGGTGTTTCGTTTGAAGTATAAAAAAAAAAAACCACGATAACAGTAAAAAAAAAAAACAATCATTTTCTCCCAGGGACGACGTTTTTTATCGCGGAAGACACATCATTATTTCTTCCTTTGTACATTATAATATTATATACACTTTAAATCCCACGAGATTTTGTATAAACAATTTTTGAGACATCCATCAACGAGTCACCCGGCACCCTATGTATAATGAGGAATAAGTTTAATGTGTTCTCGCCGTTAATTTGTACGAATTATTAGATAATTATTTATATTTTTATAAATCTTTTTTTCTTTTAAAGTTATAATATTATAATAGGTACCTATTTAAATTTTGTATTTTCGACGAGCCGTAACATGTTTGGGTAGATAACTGTATTTATACCTGTGATTGTTAGAACACATTTGGTTACCTCAGTGGTATGTAAAAATATTGATTACTGGATAGTCGACTTGAAAATTCAACATGTATGATATATTACTAACATGATAAAGATATTGAAAAACATTTCTCCTAGGTGGTCCAAGATTTACTGGTAAAAATATAATATAATAGCATCAAAATAAAGTACATACTATGTAAAATACAAACATTATGTATCAAAATAAATAATAGTTTTAGAACTGATAAGTATTTAAACAGTATTAAAATATTTTTCGGAGACTAAAAAGAACCGACCTCCACATGATGTCTTTTAGGTAACGCTAATAGGCTCTAAAAATATTGAAAATTAATTTAAAAAAAAATAAAAAACAAAATTATGCCAACATATTATATAAGAATAAATGTATTATTTGTTTGAGTGTTTCCAAACGTTATATTAATTTGTAATCAAACGTATTATTTTTGTACCATTTTTGTACGATATTTTGTACCCAAATAGTGTATTTGTTTGTATCTATACGTGTAGTATTTAAGATGTATGTCTTACGACGGTGTAAATGATTGCCAAATTCAATCGTCGCGATCGTTCGAGAAATATTACGGGATTTTGGGACATTTTCTGGGACATTTAGATGTTTAATAACGAACACCTGTGCCTGCGATGTAAATGTATCGCGGTCCACATACTAAAGTGTTTTAGGCCAAACACGCGTGTCAACGTACACGTTCACAATGGTCCTTACAACGAGTGCAGTTTGAGTGAATATGTTCCAGTCCAGGGGTCTCCAACATTTTTACTCGATGTTTTTATATTTAAAATATATTATCTAAATATTGTGTAGTAATTTTAATAATTATTTATTATTGATTTTTTTATAAATGAAAAGTATGAAATTTATGTTTTTCTCTTAATATTTTATCGAATTGTCGTATATCTTACTGGTTCCGATTTTCAAAACCAATTCAAATGTTGATCTTAATTGATTTAATTTAGGTAATGTATTTTATCTTAGAAAAAGTTTGTTCTTACAAATATAGGTAGGAATATAGGTGACATATACATTATTATACAGATATGATATCATATGGAACATATTATATTCAATTGCAAATTTGGATATAATGTATCCGGAAGGAAATGACAAAAGTCAACTAAGGTCTTTTATCGATATTTGATTTTCAGTGCTTCATTGCATTGCAAACCAATCTTTTCCGTTTGAAGGGTAGAAAGTGACTTCTCAATATCACAACTAAACGGATTTTTAAAATGTTTATTTATTCAGAATTAACGTCAAGGTTAGACAAACGTTGTTGGAACTGGATTTTAGGTTCAGTAATTATATTTTTAGCCTTCGTGGGGCCGGTTAAAACTTATTCGCAGGCCTGGTGCGTCTCATGGATTGTAGTTTGGAGACCCCTGGCCCAGTTGAATGCGTGTGTGTACTCCCTATATGCGCTATGAATTAGTGATGATATTCATACTCATTACTGGAGTATACATAAGTCGATTTTAAAACGGTCGTCGACTATACTTACAATAATAGTTACAGCACGAATCCGCAGCATTATAACTTCTGGAAATGGGTAACAATTTTTATACACTCTACTATAGTACAGTCTATACTTATTATTACATTGCATTATTACATCATTACTCTATGTACAATTACTTTATTTCAAATATAGCTTCTACCAGAGAAAATATAAGATATAATGAGATAGATGGAATTGAAAACTTGGATTGATAGTCTTCGATTAATCGAAATACTTCTTTATGTTCTGGTTTCTGTAATACCATTATAAAAGATTGATATTGGTTCGGAGAATTTTAAAAGTTTCTTGTTTGGACCATCTGAAGACAGAAATGTTAGATGCCCAATGTCAATTGCCTATACGGGACTGGCGTTGGTGAGGATAGGACAAAAATACGACTCTAAAATGTACCGTGTTTATTGGGCTATTCCTGTTGATTAGTTGATTATTATTACCCAGTCAACCTAATGTATATAGTTCCAAAAGTAGGGGTGAGTAAAGTTCTTCTGAAAACCGCAGACAAGAGGTTTTTTCGGGATTACCCTTCACACTTAATATTATGGATAATGCCGATCCATCATTATCGTTTGATTCGTCTATGGGCCTCATGTCGAAACTTCAGTAGGAAAAAAATAACAAAAACCATATTGCTAATACACATCTACTAATTACTACCAATACTACTAATTAATATTAGGCATTTTTATACTACGTAGTTGATAAACAAAACGGTTCGGAATTCGAAAAAACTTTTTTAGTCCGTTAAAAGTATTCACGCTTGAGGTGCTTTCGAACTAAACCTATAGTAAAAAAAAAAAACTCGTTTCGATTATTATAATAATTTAATATTATTGTTCATTCTCGTCGCACGTACCCGGGGTCTGCACGGATCAAAACACGGATACAAAACCGTACTGTAGTAAGTATAATAAAGAACTGAAAAAAAGTGAAATACCGCAATGTCGATGACTTCGCTATTATTTTTATTATTATTATTATTTCGCTTGGCTCATATAAGTACGATATCGACGACGACGCCGTTAAACGGTAAAATATTAATAATAATCGTTCATTGATTGTCGTATTTCCATGAGGCGTATCTGCAATGTAACAGATGTTTTTGAATTCGTGCGGTCTCGCGTTTTTTGAATGTCACCATTTTTAATATGGAATAAACGTATACGCGGTTCCATCGCAACGATATTATTATAATATTAAAAATAAGTCTCGTGTTTATAATAATTATTCTTATTACTGTGAAACCACTACAAACATACGACAATTTATAATACCATTGTAATTTGTAAATACACGAATGCATTTATTATTATTATAATATGTACTTAAATTGTATAATCGGTCAGCAAGTATTAATATTTGTCGCTGTAAATCGTATAGTTTGTACTACACGAGTTATACAATTATAGTTTAGTGTAATAGGCGTTAGAGTCGCGGAAGTTTAATGAAGTAATAACAAGTACGATTAAATATCGCTAGACGAATTTGAAAATTTAGTATGCGGCTTGAACTATTATTATAAAAACACTTTTTGATTAAATCCGGAGATCTAATAAAGTTCTAATAACAAAATATCGAAAGTAACGTCTATTTCATAAATCAACATTACCTATCTAAACGTTTATACGTTTAATGATATTATTCGATTTAATTTTTGTTGATTTTTGGGTTACCTTAGAAACAAGGGGAAAAATATAATGTAATAACAATACAGTAATTCTGTTAGCAATGATTTATTGTTGCATATTGACTATAGATATAAATTAAATGACTCATGATATCATATCTTCCAAATTTTTCTCCTAAAACAGTGGCTCTCCCATCAGCAGTATCGACCTTTTATATAATATATATCGGTATACTTGTTTATTTTATCGTTATATTTTCGAAGGTTTTAACCTTTTACAATTTTTGGTTTTGTTTTATACTTACCTAATCTAACCGACCGTAACGATAACATTACCTATATTTTAATAATTTTAATGCTAAAATGGCATTGTAGTATTGTGCACACACAAAGATGCATTTAGGTATGCGATAAACGGTATATAAAATAAATGAAATGTAAGTACGTCCAAATAATATTATATATATATATATATATATATACATAATAGCAGTATAATGTCTTTTTATCTGAACCGTATAAACCGTATAGGGTATACTGTTATATACTGGAAAGACTATACGAATGAGAACCGACTATGACGACGACGGGCTAAAAGTAAAAAAAAAAAAACACCAGAAAAAACTCGGCAATGACACATTTTTGACTTAGGAAACGTAATGTATATATATATACATTATTACGACGCCGTATAAGTGAGAATTTTAACTATGTATAACATAAATGGGTGGCGATTTAGAATGGCGACTTTATACGACGACGACGTTGGCGTAGTGTACCTATATATTATATTAGGCATAGTTAACGATCGGATCGGATTATATGTATTTTTGCCGGATTTGATTTTTTTTTTTTCATTCGTTCGTTCCTTCCTTCGGCACTAGGTCAAGTTTCGAATAAAAAACAAGCGATCGATCGATTTTTTTTCTTTTACCACTTTAGACCGCCGCTAATAATGGACGCGGAACTAAAATTCCGTGCGGCCATAATATTTATATACGTATAGTCAGCGATAATACGCGTATGCGTATTATATTACCTATACACGTTATGCGTAGTATTATTTTAATGGTATAATATTATTATCGCTATGAATAGTACGTATATAATATTATACACGTTCCGAAGAGTGGCAGGACGATCGCGATAATAGCGAATGGAAAGCGTTCCGGAAAACTTCGGACGCGATCGAATTGCAGTCATTTGTGTTTTGTTATTAGCGTGTATACTTATACTATGCGGGCGACGATGTGGGCGGGTATAATATATTTCATTGTACAACACCGTCGGGAAAACGCATTGCACCGGGCCCCGCAGTAGTAGGTCAACCGTTTTGTAAGTCTGGTTTTTTAATTTGTTTATTTTTTTTACTTTTTTAATTTTATCACACACCATACCCGCGCAATCATGTGCACAGTGAAATGCACACCGTCGAAAGAACGGTAATACCTAATATTAGTATTATAATCGAAAAGAGTACAAATTTCAAATTATATATTATACTCAAAACTGTAAAAACTATATAGATAATATTATGTGATATAATAAATTATAATTATATACATATATATCATTTTTTTTTTCACTACCTATCCGTCCCAACCTTGGGAACCTTAATATAATTACTGTTAACAGTTAAAATAATATGCCCGCGGTTCCCACGATTATACGGCACGGATCTTCTTCTATTATATCAATATACATACTATAAGCTTATTCATATTAATCGCAGCAGCAGCACAAGCAACGCGCGCAAAAAATGATATGATTGTTTTTCATCGTTCTCGTCGAATAAATTTCAGAGAGATTATATATATATATAATGTTATAATCAATGGTGTTCCTATCAATTTGTAGGAAAGTATACACTGGCATCCTGTGCCTTACATAGAATATTTTATAACTTCCTTATGGTTTATATAGGTACTGTTATGGAGAAATATATATATCAATTATATATATATAAAATTTAATTTATAATTACCAATGTAAAACACTCAAACTTTTTTTTTACATAAAATATTATAAATATAGTAAGAGAACTGTGCATTTTTTTAGTTTCAATTAAAATTAGTGAAATAAATACAATTTGATTGATAATATTGGTTTTAGTGATGATATAAGTGGTATGAACAGGCGATGATAACATAATGTTATATATATAATGTATATATCATGACGAATTTCTTTTTTAAAACTGTTTCAGAGTATATGGCGTGTAATATGTATTATACCCTGCGGGAACACCACTTATAACTTATATTACCTATAACTGTTTATGACTGAATTTTATGTTCGGAACAGTCGGACGTAACGTAATATTATTTACGGAAATACATAAAATAATTGATACGAAAATAATTGTCTTGCGAATAGATTCACATTTTTAAGGCGATATTTAAATCGAATCCCAACGTTAAAAGTTTAACATTAATTGATTTGATAGTGAACTCTGAAAACTAAATTTGTATCTGTTCGACGAAAGTTTCATTCGCTCATTGAAATACGTATGAAATAATAACAGTAAACAATAATAATAATCATAATAAAATGTGCAGTTATAAAAAATAAAATAAAAACATATTATTATATTATCGCTTATTTCTACGATGCGGTTTTAAGACTTGTTTTATTGGATTGAACAAGTTTTCATTAAAACAAACGTGTTTATAAAAATAATTTTTATATTCGAACTAAGTATACCCCAAACGTATACATGAAAACAAGAATACGCGAGTGACAATATAATATAATATTAAGCCGTACCGTTTATAAGCGGTTTTATTGACGATTTAATTTATTACGTTTCGTATAAAAATATATATACATTAAGACATGTATCTAATTCAAAATTAACATATAGGCAATGATCATCCCATAGGGCATACTATAATAATGTACGTCAAATATTCTCAACATTTTGTAGAAAAATCATGCATGTGTTTTGTATACTCTTGAATATTTGTTTGAATTTAAATAATTCGTTATTCTTCTATATATTCATTATTGTCCGTTTAATGTTTAAAACATTTATGCCATTAAAACCGTGATTGTTGTAAAAATTGTATTTATTTTAGTAATTAAAACTGAAAAATTCACCATTTTCTTACGATTTACAATACGGGGAATTAATTGGTTTTACTGTGACACGTTCAAATAAATTGTCTAGTGAAAATTTTCCTCGAGTCAAAAAATGTATAAAAAATTTTTCGTAGACGTTTTGATTTAGTTATTTCATATCAAATATAATTTTTTGATTTTCGTTGAAATTGTCTAAATCGATAAACTGTCCATTTTTGGTATAATTTTTGTTGATTTCTGGGTTACCTCGGTCTCGGAAGAAAAATTACGACTAAAAATACTTTGCACAGAATTGTTTTTTGATAGTGATGGTTTATCTTTGAGTACAGATATAGATTAAATTACTCTTTATAAGACACAGGATGTTTAGTGTAAACAAATTGATGGTAGCACCACTGTATACAGAGTGATCAGCGTTTTATGTTTGGTATTTTTCGGCAAAAAGTTTTACATTAAAAGATTGCTAAATTCGTAAATAAAAATATCTTTACATACATAATGCTTACAATAAATAGTATAGGTTCGCATTAAAATTCAAAATTTTAATTTTAAAAGATGACCCCAAAATCCAAAAATGTTAAGCCTACATATAATTTTAGATTGTACTACTTAATTGCTAATACAGCTATTCTTTATTTACTATATTTTTATGAGACAATTGCTGTAACATAAAATTCTGATTTCTGTGTATTTATTTTTTTGAGAAATATTTGAAAAGTGAATATTTTGAACATTATAGAGTATGTCTCACGAAAATATACTCGTCGAAATATCTTTTGAGATAAAAGTGATAATCAAATTCTGTTTTTATTTTTCATTTTTATTTTATATAAAATTTGTATGTTTTAGTAAAAAAAATAATTTAAATAAACATGTTTATTCTTTATCCCCGTGAGTAATATAATATTTGACTATCTTTAATATCTCCGGAGATATTAAAATAGGTATATCTTCGTATGACATCGTATACCAAAAAAAAAAAAAAAAATAAAAATAGAATAAGAATTGTCGAGCTTAATATTATGGCGAATAAGATAATGAATAACAACACTTTATGGCGTTTTAATTTGTGTATTATCAATTAAAGAGTTTAAGTGAAAATATAATATAGGACATAATATTATCATGTACTTACAATTTCCGCCTTCTCGTGCCTTCCTGTGCGCTTGTTGCGGTCGATGATGAACTCGTAGTTTACACAAACACACACGTACACATGCACACACCGGCAGCAATACAATAGGTTGTCTGCAGTGTTGTTGTCGTTGTTATATGTGTCGCACACTTATACTATCAACAATATTAATATCGCAGTTCCGTTATTATTGCACAATTTACGAGGTGCACGAATATTATAATAATCACAATATTTTTGTAGTAGTAATGTTATAATTTACGAAAAATCGGATTTATAATATAAGGTATACGGGAGAATGAGACGATGGAAAAAAAAATCGAATATACGAGATGCGACTCGGCGATGATATTACGGATATTATAATATTTTACTATAAATAAATGATAACAAAAAAACAAAATAACCGTAAGCGCGTTAAAGTCTCTGGCCGCGGCCGTCGTCGTCTACTAATAATACGATAATCGTAACAGTAGTGATGATGACACGTCCTGTGCACGGCGCGACATCGGTCAAGGACTGTGGTGAACTACACTGCGTCCAAGATCAATGCCACCGGTTCCTTTTATAACTTCTTCCCTACCACACAGAACGCACGCCGCCGCCTCCGCCTAGGCCGGCCACTCGCGCGTAGTTTTGCGTGCGGTTGGTTCGTTTTCCGCGCCGTCTACTTCTATATTTCTTTTCCTCTTACATACGTATACGTAATTTTTTTTTTTTATCATTAGTGCGTCGAGTACGTATTCTTGTATATAATATATATACATGTATACGTATACTCGCATTCTTCGTTCGCGGCCCGGCTCTCGCTGTTATTATCTTCATAACTATTATCATAAAATGGATTTATGAATATTTTTTTCCAACCTCTGCAACAAAAGCTACAGGGTTCAATCGACAATAATATAGCTGCTGTTGCATTTCACATTGCTTTTACTGAAAAACAGTGTACCACGAGCAATCGTTTCGGAAAATTATTGTAGATACCCCTTTATAATATTATACTATTATAAAAACGATTTTTTTTTTCTTTTCTATTATTTGTCAGCCAAAGATTTCATACTTATATGCACGTATACAAATAATAAAATACATTTTTTTACTGAAGGGTTCTCAAGAGAATTTAAACCATTAGACTAGAAAAATATTAGGAGGAGGAAATGAGACAAACTACAATGTTATGCCGTCATTATTTCTTCGGTAGTATAATAAAAATCTATGGGTGTGTGTGTATATATATATATAGTCGATGTCGGATTGTAATATCAGCTTAAAATAAAATAATATTCAATATATTTTATAGAAAAATAAAGTTTTAGAAAAAATTTAAAAACGGAAAAAGTATAGATATGCTCTTTATACATAACCTATATATAGATTAAAAGTAGCATTCAATTTTAAAACAATATATTTCCGTCATTGTCTGTATTTACTCACTTGTCACGTTCGAAAAATTATTAAAAATTTAGCAAATTATTAAAATTTTTGTTATTTTTATTGAATCGACATTATATTATGAATGGGATGTGCTAATGGTTAATAAACTGATTTATTTTTAATAATCTTTATAGTATTATATAATTTCTCTATGATATTATGATTTATGTTACTATATTTACTTGCCAAAATCCATCCTGATAAATTAAATCGAATAAATACAAATATAGTACTCGTAGCTTTGCATTATTATTTTGAATAATTTTGTCATATTGTATTCATAATTTATATATTTATAAATACTAATAAAACCAGTATTAGTTTATCACATTAAAATCGATGGGGTTACCAAAATAATATTTGATATGGCAAATGAATGATGTGTATATAGTTTCAAAATGGTATCAGTTAATGACGATATTAATAATGTTATGATTTATGAATAAAACGAAAAAAAAAACTCACCGAAAAAATGTTTACACGTATTACCTAGAAGATTATATAAGCAATATATTTCATTAAGTATATTTTACTAAAAAAAATACTAACATTTTAGATTGTCCAGTAACAATTATTTTCGATTTTTATTTTTGCGACAACGGCTTTATTTTGAATTTACATTTTTTACTATATTCTATGTATTACATGCATAGTAATAATATAATAAATTATTAATATTAGCTGTGAGTGCCTGTGATCTTATATTATTTGCAGTTATCTATTGTGGCTTTTTTTCTCCGTTAAGAAACGTTTACAAGTTTAGTGAAGAAGAAACTTTATTTAGGGAAAAAAATGTTTTTATAATAAAATACCTTCAATATGAACGTTGACCATACATTATTATATAGCATCGTACATCATACCACAAAAATCAGTAAGAATGAAAAATAGACCTGGAAAAAAACAAAGACTGATACCACATAATTGTTGTTTTTAATCCGGAACTGGAACACGTAATCGACGATGAGCCAAGTTGATACGAAAAAAAAATATAAATATAGGTATGCAATACCGGAATAACGTGTTCCCATTCAATGCGCCTCGATACCCACAAGTATATTATTGAAGCACTAAACCATAAATTAAATAGATTGACCGGAACACGGCGTCAAAGTTTTTTGAATAGTAAAAATTCTTCCAATAATCGATTTCAAGAATATAATTTTCGGGGAGCCACTTGGATGCTGTAAAATTGTGTAATACAAGATTGTAACTATGATAGCAATATCCAGTTACAGATTTAAAATATAAATGGCTTTAAAAACATTTCCCATAAAACGTTTTTTTTTTTTTATCACAAGTCACCTTACCGCTTTGAATTGTTCAGATTTTGGAAGAACGAGGAATATTGGTTTAATTATAACGAGCATTTTATTTAAAAAAAATATGTGAATGTAAATAACTTTTCTATTATAAATCTGGTTTTAATCAAAAACTTTATAGGGACTATCTTACAGATATTTTGTTCTAGACGACAAAGTTAATGCATTAAGGAGATTATTTTTGATTTTTTTGTAGTTTTCCTAATAAATGGGAAAAACTAAAATAGTAACATACCCATAAGAAATATAAGCTTTTTTTATCGTTGTTATCATATAAATAACTTAAACAATAAAAATTATTCTGGTTTGAATGTTTAAAATTCGACGTTTGTTTGTGTGATATTTTACATAACACTAATTATTCTTATTACCTATATTATTATATAATATTATGTTATATTAGGTTAGGTAGGTGAGTAATTTTGTAAAAAATCTAATTATTTTTACTACTTAATAAAGTATATCCATTATTGTAAATCCTCGCTCAGCTCAGAATTATAAAATTAAAACAATTTCCATAAAATCGTTACGATTTAAATTCAAAAAATAATAATTAAATATTTTAAAATAAATACGACGTAGTATTCATAAAAACTTGTCAAAAACTGTTTACAAGGACGTGTAATTTAGGTACATAAATAATATAAATAACAATAATATAATTTGTATAATACCTATATGTACCACTAATGGCGTATTTTCTGGATGGCGAAAATTGTAATTTACTGACCCACGTGGGCTACGCTATATTTTCATGTTTTCTTTTTTCAAATTCACTACTTACTTTAGTACAAACATTAAATTGCAATTATGAAGTTTTTATTTTTATTTCTTAATTGTATTATACTTATTACTTATACGGGTTGATTATTTTTAAATGGACATTATCTTCTAATTTTCATCTTCACACGATGTTTTAACACTATAATGATTACTAGTTAAGTATGAATAGTATTAAAGTTATTTTATTATAAGCAGGCTGCATATTACAATTTCTTTTAAAAATAAAATATTTAACGAAGGAAGTATACACTACATGAAAATGATAATTTACAAATATTTACTGGTTAGCCGTTAATTTTCTACATTTTTTTGAATTTTACGATAGATTAATTGCCACTACAAAATAATATTAATCTATAAATCCATCATAAAGTGAATATTTTTTGTAACCCCAAAATTTTGTTTCAAAACAAACGCAAAAACGACTACCCTGAATTTTGTAACAATAAAAAAAAGAAAAAGAAATACAACAAATATAAAATAGAAGAATCGTAGCTTAAGACTCTAGTAAATATTAAAAACAAAAAAGAAATTCAAAAATATCAAACAAAACAAAAGTTTATTGTATTTGTTAAATCTCCGTGAGACATATTATTTAATAATATAAGTATAATAAGTGTAATACAAGTATAGGTCTTGTATAATATAAATATTTTGATACGAATAAAAATTGATGAAAATATCGAAGTTGTGCGGCTAATGTCACGGACCTTGTATTACCTACACTAACAATATACCTACTAATGACAATAATGGTCATGATTTATTGATATAGGAGTTGCATTACAAGTATAAATATATCGACATCATGATATGATAATATATTTATTTACTAATCTATGATGTATCAGTGATGGCACGAAGCGGTACTTGTATATTAGAATTATTCAATCATGTGATTAACAAAAAAAAATAATAACAAAAAATGGGTGGATAAATAGTGAGTGTTTTGGTATTCAAATATGTGTTACAAAAATACCGCACGTGTGTCCACAGCATGAAATAGGACGATAGATACGATATGAGATACCACTTAATATTTCAGTTGGATGAATGTAAGTATTGAAATACACATTTTCAGAAAAATGTAAAATGTGCAACACTTTCGGTCATGCTATACCGTACACTTACTTCATTGAAATTGCAGTTTCCATTTTTTTTTTTTGTACTGATTTGGATAGAGTTATTTTTTTAAACGATTTTTTTTAAAAAAAATATTAAATACCTAAAATAACATTTACATTAATTCAGTTTTAGAAGAATTACATATACATAATGAAATAAAGAAAAATAATTTTAATAATATTTTAAATGTACAAATCGATTTTAAAAATAATACTTTATATCAATGCATTTTAGATAATAAACAATTACCAAATAATTTATATTTCTTAATAAATCCATGTCTAATAACAACTATTTTAAATAATCTTTCCTATTAAAATAAACTAATAAAATAAATTCAAATTTATTGATGGGAGGAGTCACAGTATTGCTAGCTGGAGATTTTAAACAAACTCTACCAGTCATACCCAGAGGAACTCAAACTAATCAAATGTCAGCAAGCACAAAGTTTTTATATTTGTGGTCTCAAATAGAAGCATTTTCTTTGACCAAAAAATATGCGAGTACATTTAAAAAGAGACAAGACTGCTGAGTACTTTTCTGGCTACTTTTAAAAATAGGAGATGGAAAATATCCAGAATGTGAAGAAAAAATTACTTCGCGAACAGGATTAGAAACTGTTGTAGAAACTTTAAAAGAACTTACAGACAAAATATGTCCTGGAATCGAAAACCTCAAAGAAATATCAATCACTAGTCATGTAAGAAGGCCATTTAGATATCAAAAAATGATACAGCAGGAGAAATAAACAAAATATTACTGGACTCTTTCCAATCAAAAAATATGGAATACAGATCAGTGAATTCAGTATGTATTATTTATATTTATTATATATACATTTATTTATATGTATTTGTATTAGA